ATATACCGCGCATCAGGTTATGTGCCGTGGTCCCGAGATCGGTTTGGCGGCTCTCATGTATTTGGACCTTTGCTTAAAACTTGTCTGAAGCTGCGGACCGTTTACAAGACGATGACAAGAGAACTCCTCCCTTTCGTTTAATCTCAACTATCGGTTTAACATCTCCACTGATCCTCTCCCTTGAACACGATTTCAGAGAGTGTCGAGAACCAATCCGAGAATTTATCACATCGAATTTAACACGGCAGAGTCACGGAAGAAAATCGTGCTAGAAAAACGCGGATGAAACAGCAATTTGCAAGGCCATCTGAGCCTGATTAAGCGCCAAGCTTGGGAGAAACGAAAGCACACCCGTACATGTATACATATATATACACATATATATATATATGTATGATCTATGTACTTATGTGTGTACGAGTGCGCGCACGTATACATATATACTTTCATGCATAGATCACGAATCTACCAGTTAAGTCGCACACAGCTTCAAGTTAAGCAAAGCATCGCGACTGCCATCTCTTCAGATAGGAGGAAAGGTATAGAAAGGCGCGAAATTTGAAACGCAGCTGCTTTGACTAGGGCTCCGGTTAATATCCGTTTTTATAATCTCCTTTTCTTTTTTCTTTTTTTAATTTAACCGTTTCACTGTATACGCGTACACATTCGTTTGTGAAATTTACTAAATAATTTGCAGGTTACTGTTAGAAAAAACATTCAGTTGTGAGTACACCAATAACAAGGGATTACGTTATCACAAAGTGTAACATTATTGACAGAAGTAATGATCATTTCTCCGAATTACAGTGAAAATAGGATGAAAGATATTTGTGAATGAATTTGTTAGCTCTCCAGAATTTTGTTCAAGCATAAACGGATAATCCGGAGCTCCGCGATGAATCGTGTAAAGCGAGTCGCGTGTAATGTTAGTGTCTAGCTGTGCACTGTCGTCTCTTAAATTACGACATCTCGTTATCTACGAATTTTGTAAACCAATCGACAATGGATATACGTACGTGACAATGTATTTGGCATACATTTTCTCGGTCATAGAATACAGAACTATCATCTAATGGCATAATCAGCACTGCGTCATAAACAATGTACTTATGGTAAAAGCTCAGCACAGCGTGAACAAAGGACAAGTACTTAAGCGTATTTTTCTCTGACATTACCGTACACATCAGCTTGTTACTTTGCATCGGTATACTAATCACAGTATCACCGATCATGTTCAAAGATAAAAGAATAGAAATGAAATTACGAGAAGGTCTGTGCCCCCCTGCTGGAACCGCCGAGGGGATTGCATGCTGTGCAGCTTCTTCCAGGTGAGAGTGCTGCCGAGCCAGCTGTTCAACCATTTTTTCTATTCGCACCTTCTGATCGCGCTCGTGTTGCAACATCTTCTTCCATTTAGGTTCTTGTTGCTGCGCTAGTTGCAAATACTCATTGCTTGTCTGAAATCACAATTTGTTCTATTTTCTACGCAACTATTACACGTTCAATATTAACCCACACACTATAGTATGTTATTCATTCAACATAACAATGTTCATTTATGTTTATGGTATCTACACATGAGCATTGCATGCCAATTAATTCTCTATTTATAAAAATATCCATAAATTCGTTTGAGTTAAGCGTCACTATAAATTATTATAGCAAATTAGTAGCCTCCATTAGGCTTGATCATGATCATTTGCACACATTAAAGGTTCGCAAAGATTCTTCTTGGCAGAAGGATTAATGACACCCCATTCATTAGATATTTTCACTTGTACAATAGCGTTAACAAAAATGTTACAACTTACATTGACCATAGCACAAGCTGCAATACGAAAGAGCGCAGCCCGTTCGCTGACTGTCTTTATTTTTGCCGCTAATTCTGGTGACGGTGGTTCAACTGCTTCAAGGTCATTCAAAGCCCGTTGAAGCATAGTGCCTTTTTTGTTAATCAAATCATAGCAAGCCTGTAAATCTTCCAAGCGCTGAGACAAGTCCTTTATCACGGATACTTGCTCTGGTTTTTGACTATCGTTGTCCTGGAATTCTTCCTCCTCTTCTTCTGGAACAAATTATATTTTACATAATGTGGCTGTTCCAAATACCATTCTTTACCGCTCACGTACGGCGTTAAATCTTCTAAAAAATATTTAATAATTACATACTCTTTAATATAATAAATTGCTTAAAGTTAAGGACAGAAGTGACAATCTTGGCTGTCCTCTCAATACTGTAACAAATTTTATATTATAACTTGTACAACGAGGAACGTTCTAATTGTGACTCATTATTTTCAGTTCTCACAATAAGTACATCTGTTTTGAGTCACGACTTATAGATAACGTGAAATCAATCTCTGTTTTCCTTAACTATTTCAAAGAGTGAAGTTCGACGCGTATCAGATGAACGTTAATGATTCATAGAACTCAATGTCTTAAATGTTTCATTTACGTCTAACATATGGAAACACATTGTTTTAGCTATTACAATATGTATCAGCAGGAAACGTAATCATAATATTTACTTTCCTTGCGTTAATTATCGCGGTAACTACTTCTCCGTCACTGGCTACTAAATCATTTCGAGAAAAAAATACGCTATGGCGAAGCATTTACCTTCATCGTTGCGAAAACAAAATATCTGAACAAGTTGAAATCCCCGTTGCGGAAATTAAACGTCGTTGACGTAACTTTACCATCTTTTCTTTAGAGTTGTCGTAGTCGTGCGCTTTTTCATGCACACGTTATGTTACAAAATAGGAATTGTATGAAACAGGATATAAAGGTCAGATGTTTTGCATGATATTCGACAAAATTGTTGTCTATTGAAGAACTTGTAATTACCAGTAGCAGATCATAATAGCGATCAGAAATTCTAATTCGCAATTGAGGATAATTTACATAGTATTTACTCTTATTGCCTGCACTTAAGCCATCAATCATTGACCACTGTGTGAAAAAATTTACCAGCTCTCATTGACATGTGTCTTGTGAGAGACATTATGGACAATTGCCTTTAATGCTATGCTATACAGTCTGCAGAGTGTTGATAGGTTCATTGTTGAAGAGGACTGATTCTTCTTGAGAATCTGCAGCGAGAAAGGAAGAATCAGTTGTGCAATTCCTAGACCATAGCAGGACCAAAGTGTTCCGAAATTGACCAGCATTATCCTGCTGAAGGATTCTAACTAAAAATATTTCCATCATCTAAAATCATCGTTCCTGTTATCAAGTAGAGCACAGATTTCTCCCTGAAGAATAGAATCAGATGTTATCAAAGAGGTTTCTAAATCTGAAATGCTCACTCCTATTTAAATCCAAGTGTTCCTCCAACGATTCTCTCCCCCTTAGATCTCTACTCCAATGATTGAACTGATTAGATTGTACAGAGACTCCTCTTCCCAAATACCGATATCCGGCTGATCAACTCCAATAAATGGGAGTGGAAAAAATAGTGATTTCGTCATACAGACCAGATTCCATAGCCTGAATGGCCTTGGCCTTCGCCAGTTCGAGGGCCGTGACCCATTGTTGACGCTCCACCTCTGTCGCCGCCTTGATATGGAAGGTTTGCGTGCCACCATTGCTCACGACGAACGTGCAAGCGTCTACGGTGTGTATTAAGGCCCCGTGCAAGGATATCGTGCCGCGGCACGTATGGGACATCTCGGCCGGATTTCTAAACAGAGAAAAGAAAACGCGACAGTTCCGTGGACAGATCCTTCGGCTGTTGGAAAACCGTATGACACAGAGAAAGACAGACGTGAGTTTGCAATAGGGCGCTTTGCCCTGCGTTAGCAAGGTTTATCCAAGCCAAAGAAAACGCTGTCGACTCGCCAAAAGAATAGTCTATATACATATGTGTTACCACGAAAGAGAGTTATTATATAGTACCTTATCGAGATTGTCGGTGACTCTACCACTCTAGCTAACAATCATTCGTTCAATCACTCCGTTATATCCGCTTTCCATTAGCTGTCTAACTTTACGAAAGTCCCATTGCCTGTTCAACTTAACGCCATCTCGTCGAATGACGCTCCCTGACGTTGAACAGATCTCAAACGGCAAAGCATCAGTTTCGACGGCCGCGTTAAAAGGAACATCTTATACGCGTATTTTCATATCGGATACAAGTGATTCAGAATAAATTTAGTTCCTGATCACGTGTCCAGGCGTGCCAGTATTGTAGTCGCTCTAATTTTAAATTGAACGGACAATATCGCGACAGTGATTCCACGAAATTGCCAGAGACCTTATAGAATCACCGAGCAAGGCATACATTTCTGCGGCAACTGTAAAGGGTGTACATAAATCATAGGTACAAACCAGAATAAACTGAGAGAACTGATCAACAAACGGAAAATTAATGCTCGCGTCATTCGGCTATCTGCCTCTGTTGGTCACGGTGACTATAGAGGCGTCAAACGGTAAGAGGGGGTAATTGAACCGACCGATGGGCGAAGACCAACTCTAATTTCAGCTGCCAATTTACATGTTTCCACCGCGAGCTCTAGCCGTGAATTCGTAAAACGAGGTTCAAGCGAATCGACGGTACATCGAGTCAATGATTTACGTTCGCGCGGTGACCGGAGCGCGTAAACGATGCATCTACGATTCTCATTGATACCCGAAGTTTGCACCCATAATTTCTTTACACCCCGGCACCGTAACAGCTCGATAAGTGAAATGCGACAGTCTACGTTACACTCTAACAACTTGGCACATGTATATTCATTAGATCGCAGGAAATGAATAAAATATTAGCTGAATCGATTACTCCTTCAAGCAGCCCCGTTACCATTATCAGTCGACAGACCACCGTCCCTACGCGGCATGACCACAAACAACCAAAACGTAACCCGATGAGAAGGTATCACCGAAAAAAAGGATGGAGGGTGAGATTCGTTCGATGATCGAGAGAGGGGAGAGCAGCTTGTAGATCAAGGTTGAGCAGTTCCGAGTCGGCGGAATGAAGTCTGGCGTAAACGTTACAATAGTCGCGGAGAAATTGCATGGCCTGCGAATGGGATCGTACTGGTACGACGCGTTCAGAAATTATTATTGCATATTGTCCAAACGCGACACGTTTTGCGGCGTCCTTTTCTCTTTACAAGTGAAACGATCGTCGACCATTCCATACGGGATTCCCTTGAACAAACGTATATACGAGTGTACCGAAATTCGACCAATTATGAAAATGTACAACAGGGGCATGTAACTGGTCGCTCGAGAACCACTCTTTCCCCTCCTTGCTTGGCGAGCAAGAAAGACCCTCTGCTCCTTCAGTCGCTACGTGAACGCCACTATAAGCAGGGTAGTACGGATACAAATACATATTTGTATCGAACACTACGTACAGCTGCTGATAGTGGGAGACTGGTTAACAGAGTGGGACTCGGCAGCTCCTGGAGTAGCAGTAATGGGCAACCGGCTGATCGAGAGTCAATTGCTGGAGGAGAGGCAATTAGACACCCCTGATGTAAAGTGTCCGTTTAACCAAAGATTAGAGCGAAACGTGACGAAACCGCGTGATTCCAAGTCCAAAGTACGTGTTTGCAAAATCTATCATCGTTTTTCATTCGATGAATTTTGTTTCTCAAGGCGGATCTGTGACCGAGAGAACGATCCTCGCGAGATCCGCCGCGTTCTGCTCTGATCGTAAGTCGAACGGACAATCCGAGAATCTCTTGTCGGGTATAGAAATGTAACAAACGTAAATTGTGCGGACAAATGAAACGTTGGGCCGAATAGATGGGAAGCGTGATCTTGTTTACTTGAACGTTGTTCGATCAGCGGAAACAATCGGCGTGTGCAGCGCGAGAACACGGTCAGTTAGGGACAATGGTTTTTCCTTTTCAAACAGATTATCACAACATAAATTGATAACAAATACAATTATCGTGCGACGATTGCGTCGTTCGTATCGACAAAGGTCTAACGTTGTGCCTTTACTGCCCAGGGATTTATGTAGTGATACCGCGCGTGTTCCACAGATCGCGGATATCTTTCTTCGTTGCTCGCATTCGTGTATTTTTAAGGTGTTTCCAAGATCATTTCGGACGAACACCTCTTTCGATCAAACGTCTGCATCGACGCGTATCATTGACCCATTAATCGAGCGATGTTCGCCAGAACGAATGTAAGTTAACGATTTCTATCGATACAGACGCGCGACGCGCAGAATGAAATGTCGGAATTATTAATCGAATAAGCGAGACGGCGGAAGATTACCGGAAAGTCGGATTCACCGAGCGAAAACGTCGAGTTAGAGTGACAAGCAATAAAACAGAAGTTTCTTCTTTCACGTCTTTCCCGATAGCGTCAATAAATTAGATGCATCGACATTCGCTGGTACCAGACCGTCTATATGCATTGCAATTATGCCTTGGAACATTTCCAACGGGTCAGTAAAAGTTTTACATCCAGAAGACCTTCAGGATACCCCTCCTCAATACAGCAGGAAGTGACGACAAAAATGAAGCAGCGTCTACCACGTAAAACTAATTTACACGCAGGTGTACACGTAGACACAGAAACACAAAAATACACAACTCTAACAAGTGTTCCTTTCATCCCCGTTTCTGTTTTCAGTGTTTTTCGTTTCTTTTTTTTCTTTGCTTCGCTAACTTAACCGGAGTTCAAAATTCAAAAGATTTCTCAATACTGTTACAGGCGTCGATTAAAAGAGAAGAAGACCAATGGAAAGTGGGAGAGAGGGAACAGTTCGTGAATAATAATAATATCGACGGAATTAATGAAGAATGGGTAAGGGCGGGAGATAAGTAACAAATAATTAGGAACACTGACGATGCCGTATTATTAACGTGGCTCTAATGTATAGGTACGTTTATATATATATATATATTATATATATATTATATATTTATATATATATATATATATATATATAAAATATATGTATGTGTATGTAAAATAGTAGGCAACTCCAACATCGTCTTTGTCTGCTTGATTAACGAGTTCAATTCAAAGAAGAGTCAGAATATTTCAGCTTTTCTTCGATTTAATTTTACTTACTCGGAGGCTCTGCCAGCCTTCCGCTTGCGTCGTGTTGATATCTTTGGCCCCCCTGTTGGTTCAGCCCTAAACAGTCCATAAAACAAATATTCCCCGTTCACATTTTGTAATACTGTAGCAAAATCATATTTCTTTGAAAGAATAAAGAATAGGTTTTCTCTCTCTCTCTCTCTTTCGCTCGTTCTCTCTTATGTATCTAATCTTTCACAAATCCTTCTAGCATCGTTTCTCTTTTTTTTATTGCCGACTGATCGAATATACGTGTTTTATTCTCTATCTTATGTGTCGCCGCTCTGTACAGGGTGCCCCAACAATCGCGGCACAACTATAAAGGAAATCAATCGTTCATGGAAAAATACGTGGAAAATGTAAGTGAAAATTTGCTCGTCCTGTAAGAATTCATCAGGGACAAATTTCATTTCGACATTTTCAACTTATTTTCACAACAGAGACTGCCTGGTTCCCGTTGGTACCAGGATCGCTGGGACATTCTGTACACGTATCTCTCTTTCTCTCTCTCTCTCTCTCTCTTTTTCCGTAATCTTTTGAAATAGAAACGGTGCAACACCATGTCCGTGCGTCGTATATAGTTACACAGAATTCTGTGCGAGAAGCTTTTCCGACGTACACGATTTCACAGGCGTGCGAAAATAAAAAAATTCGCAAGGCATTCGATTCTCTTCCTTTTCCTCCGTTCCGTCTCGGATCGCAGTATCGGGAAAGCATTGCAAACTCAAATCATAGAACTGTGCCAAGCGGAAAATCAAAAAGAAAGATCGGCGTTGATTGCGTGTTGTGTAAGGGAACGCGGATGTTCTAAATATACAATAAAACAAAACGACAAAATTTCCTCGCGCAACGAAATATTCGTGGGTAGCAGGAAACATCGTGTATTTTTTCTTTTTTTTTTGTTACCTGCGGTCGGTAAGTAGGGGCCGAGACACTTGGAACGTTCGTCGCGAGAAACGAAATGTTTACGAGCTGTTTCGTAGCGGAAAGGAATGAAGCGAACGTTCTAAATAGGCTGCGAAACTTTACGTATTCGTGTCGTACGCAAATGTTTGGATAATCGTGAACGTCGCTCTGATGACTGACATTGTTTTCTCTGATTCGGAACTCCGTGGAAAAGGTAACGAACGTTTGCATAAACTTGCGCAGCCTGATACTAAAATAATTGAAACAAGATCTCGCACCGTGTTTGAAAAGAATAAAAGGCAAATATGCAATAAATCTTCTCTGATGCGTGTGACGAGAATGTACGCAAATTTATATACAAAATACAAGGTACACGGCGAACGATCTGCGCTCCAGACGCATCAAAATTGATTGAACTCGAAATTCCTAGGTATATATATGCGCTCTGGAATACCGTGGTACGTGCATGCTCGGTAAATATGATGTGAAACTAAAATGAAAAAGAAATGAATATCGAATGACACCATGATTAATACACTGCGGATTTTGTGCATATATTGTTGTATATGATTATTTGAAATTTTAATTGAATAAAGAGTTCAATCAAATTTAACATATTTTTGATGTTATGAACTTAATAAAGTCTGTCTTCAATGAACTGTACTTCTAAATTGGTGCAAAAGTATGTGAATTTGCATGAAGATCTGCAAGTCTAATGATTAAATTCAGTTGAGAATACTTGGATAAACCATATAGAGCATTATCTGTAACTGAGTCTGCATTGGCTGCTTATATACATGCAAGTTTGTACTGTTAAATGTTTAATATAGCACTTTATTCGTTATGCTCTTACTATAGACCATCAAAGGTACTAATAAATTTGTAACCATTAGACCATGGATATTTATGCGAACACAGACTGTTGTGGACAAATTTTCAAGAACTGAAATTCGATTAACATTTGTTTACTCTATGATAGTTCTCTCGGATTCTAAATAATATGAAAGCTACATTAAATTTTCTTAAAATATTTACTATAAAGCAGTAAACACAGATTCATAAAATCCATAGTCTAATAATCATGGCTTAACAATTATTTTTGTTACACAATATACAGCTGTTCCTTCTGACATCACATACATATATATTATACAATATAGTTGCACTATACATTGTACACGGTACAAGTTCTGGAAATTAGTGAAATTATCTATGTAAATTAACTGTCAGCATATATAATAAAATAACTCTATTTCATTTTGCTTGAATATGTTTAAGAAATAGCTGAGAGAACTTCACTTGCTGTGTATTCACTTAACAGATGGACAATACAGGTTATATACACATGTAAACCACCATTATTTCTTCAATCATAATTCAATTGAAAGCCCCACTTAAAGGTGTCATTCAGTGAAGAAACTAGTATATTTAGACTAGAATAATTTTAATCGAACCGTTTAGAAAGGGGAACAGCTCTATATTGTAGTCAAACAATTAAGTCCCTGATAATGATTGTTATTGTTGATGGAGTAAAAAAACCAATGCAATGGGAACGGTACAGAAACCGTCCGAAAATGATGATACAAAAATAATGGGAACTAGTCGCATTGGTAGCTAATCACGAGTGTATACGCGAATAATAATGAGATAATTAAAACAAGACGTACTGACACGTAGAGGAAACTACCTGTAATACGACAGTAGGCCATTTGACAGGACGAACCATCTTCGCTGGTAACCTTTCAAATAATTAGTCCATTTAAATAGCCAGCCTTTCATCTCCTGCGTGCCGTGTTGAGCCTTCTGGTCCCCCATTTTACAATACGTTGCGTGATCACACGCGTTTCGCCTGAAATTACAATACACTCCAATATCTGCGCACACATCACCCGAATCGCACGGCCACCATTTTGATATTTCTCTGGCCCACGAACTTGCTCGCTCTTAGATCGAAATTCTACTTGTACACACTGTCCGTTTGTTCGCAATAACACCAGTGGCGATACCAAGAAACTCGGAAGCGTCTGCTGAAAAGCACGATAGTAGAAAACAGTATGGATTCTTCTTTTGCACAGCGTGATAACCCGCCACGTTCCTCGATGACGGCGCCCTAACCTTTATTACCAAGTCACCTATACAGGGTGTCGTGAAATATGTGACACCTATTTGTCCCGAAAAAAGTTTATATAAAATGTACTATTGAATTTGTCTAGATATATTTATAAAGTAATTTTCGAAGAATATTTAACATTAAGTACCATCGATCAAATAAAAATCGACTAATGCCGTATTTCTTGTTCCAAATCGTAAGCGTATTTTCGTTGAAATGATTAAATAAATAAATTTATTTATCTACGCGATAATACAAAATTCGCTCTTATAATTTTGATAAAAATTCGTAAATTATATATAAATAAAATTAAAAATATGTATATAGAATTAAAAAGTTTATCGATTTTGTTATCGTTCAGAAAAATGATTCATCCCAACCCAGTAAATATCACCCAAACTATTTACTTTGAACTACTAGTTTTGCGTTTCGTGATTCTTATTGCAGTATTTGCAAAAAAATCTCTAATTTTCTGATGGTAATCAATGGCGATGAAAAATTGAAATAAATAAATCAGAAATATTTGTATTCACATGTCATTGTTTGGATTACCTTGTATAACATTCACGATTATACGAACACCTACACATTGAAATTTGATTACAGGTAATCTGTGATTTTGCAGATTTCTCGACGTTATTTGTCTACCTTTTTACCATTTTTCTCGCATGACGATCAAAGTCGAATGTAAGATTAAAAAGAACGACAATCGATATTCCCGATAAGACAGAATCATTCTGCTAAAAATCATAGATTCGAATTTCAATTGATCATTCCGCGAAAATGGCAAATGTGAAATTTTCCGTTAATCGTAACGAATGAAACTGTAAATTTACGAAGAAACGTCGATTTTAGCAAAAGTAATCGAAATTGCACGAGGTTGCTGTCATTCTTGACGTTTTTCCCATTGATCTGATAGGAATGAATAATTATATGCACGTGTTACGACTCAAATATACAATGACAAAGGCAAGACACAACGTGAATATAATATTATCGACTAACGCTATTACGGATGCAATTAACACGACGCAGGATAATTAGGAAAAGAATTACGTACTTTTTGAAACGGACACGCCAACGAAAATATGTTCGTTCTGTCATTTGGCGAGATATGCGCAAGTTCTGCTCAGACGAATCGTTCCGCTCAGACGAATCGTTCCGCTCGAGAGAGATGTCATGAAGGAAAAGCACTCGGCACACTCTTCGATTAGATGCTTGATACTGACCATTATCTTCGAACCGAACCAAGCTCTTAATTTATCTGAGCAGATCGCACAACGGTAGGAACGGCGTCGAGTGTCTCTTTATTCTGCTGTACAAAGGATATGTTACGAATTTTCGATGTATTAATAGTTATGTAGTCAGCTCGCATGCTCATAATATACGTATTTCGAACCCCGGAAACATGATTCTTGAGATTGGCTATGCGTGTTAGCTGTTTGATTAACATAACATAATATCTCCTGTTTCGATAAGATTCGGCGAATGTAACGCCAAGGAAGGTGGATTTGGAGCAGAGCTCTTTATCGATAATGACGGGCCAAATTGCAACGTTACCGATCTAGCTTTGTCATTTAATTGTTGAAATATTTATGAGTATAAGAGAATATTCATACTCTAATTATTCAATTCTGTATCGTGTCAATGCGTGCGTTTATCCTCACAATTTATCATTCTAATACTATCGTGCAAGTATACAGACTTTTTTTTATATAATATAAAACATTCCAAAAATAGTATTTCAGATCTTCAAGACAATCTATGTTCATTTAATCATTAACGCATGCAGGGAAGGAACTTAGCAGGAGACACGACTTCATCAACGGGTTGACTAAGAATGGCCAATGAATTTCCTGATTTTACGCATTTATGAACATCGCACCTGCGCGCGCAGTAGGTAGCGTGGCATAATTATTAACTAAAGATTCATAAATCTAGATCGGTACTGCTGGAAACTACTTTTCTGTTATCGATAAAGAAAGGTTATACTAGAAAATGAATTCTATCCCAGACGAGATATAGGATAGACATATAATGTAACATTTTTTCATATACTCTCATGAGTACTAGTACCATTTTCGTATCATGTTCTGTCATATCGACTAAGGCTGGTTTTGCATGGCAGCGTTATAAGGAATAAGAATAAGAATAAAAAATATTAAAATTTTAAATGACAATCAGTACAGTGTTGTCGATATCAAAAATTCTTTATTCATTGAATTGAACGTTGCGACGTGACGTTTCAATAATAACGTGATGCAGTAACTTAGAACAACGGTTGACAGAAATTCAAACACAGTTGAACAAACAGGAGAATAATTTTGATATTGTTTACTTGTAATTATGGACACAGTGTAGAACAATCAGATACACGCTATCAGGACATAACAAATAAACGGATTTCAATGATCTATACAATACGTAATGACTTCGCGCGTTTGGGAGTTTGAAGACATGGCAATATCGTAACGGATACTTTTGTATACTGATTTACCATAATTCATTATTCTATCATTTTGCTTGATGTAGTTTTGCCATTGGCCGTTCCCTAGGCGTAGAGGGCAGAGCGAAACTTCTAATTTTTTTGCACTGTCGGTAATTCGGAACACGTGACACCGAGTCCCATAAGCTTGCAATATCTATCCCATACCTCGTCTGTGGTTCTATTTATTGAACTTTTTTTTATCTTAAATGAAATAAGAAATATATATATGAAAATGTCGAAGTTAATAAGAACTATGGTTGTCCTAATTTTTTTAATTTCATTATTTGTCGCAAGTATTGTAGATACAGAAATTGAACAAATGAACATATAAAATATAATTATTTGCAATATATTGAAAACCTATACATCGTGGAGCATATAAATCGATGCTGACAACTTTGCTTCCTACGCTTTAAAATTTGTACAAATTGGAAGGCTGTTTTTTGGTTACAGATAAGGATTATCAAGAATCAAAAGTAAACAGTTGCCGTGTGAAACTGGCCTTTTCCTTACGTTACTTCTCACTAGTAGAAAACGATTCGTGTGAATAAGCAGTACCAATCTAATGAACAGAGTAAGTATTCCTTTTTTTTTGTTAAGAACAGTGAACGTTTTACAAAATAATTTTTAATCTAAATTATCAAATAGAAAAGGAGACACGAGAATTTCAACAATCTATACAATCTATAATAATCTCAAGTACCCATTTAAGTTTTCTTTATTCACACATAATATTGTTCAAATAGTATATTTAAACAAACGTATACAAATATTATCTAACAAATTATAATTTCGAGTGTCGCGTATATTAGATCATTCGTAAACGAGAGATGTATCTTTCCTTTTCGAAATATGAAAAAGTTGTGTATGAAATTTTCAGATGAAGCTATCGCCGAGATTCAAAGAAATATTTCGAGATGAACAAAATGAATAAAACGGATCTACCAAACATTAATTCGTTAAGGCTAATGTGTTTCGAACACCCAGTAGAGAAGCTTGATGCAGGTCTGCGCCTGTCAACGAGCAGTTGACCTGTGTATAGTTGACCGTGGTATTTGACCGATCGCGCGCTAATATACATTTCTTTTGCGTGTGTCTTTCGTACAGTCCCGCAAATTTTTCTTAAATACACGACCGGCATTCGTATGTACGAAGTGATGGAAGAAGTCGCAAAGGGCTCAGACTTCTGACCACCCAGATGAGACTGCGTGGATCACCAAAATATCAGGACAATCTGGGGTAAGGGAGTAGCAACCTCTTGGGGCCAGCGCTGGTCACGTGACCCGTCTGTTTACCAAAATGGTGAACGTCTATGTTATACAAATGATCTCCGATTGTACCGAGGATTTGTTGGTTCCCTTGGAATAGTTCTAATATAGAAGAACGGGGTTAGAGTAGTCGTACCGTTAACAGTAATATGTCGTAGGCGAACAATCCCAACCACTGTTGCTGCGCTTGCATCGCGTTCCGTTTGGTCACGAACAATTCCAGCGAAAGTTTGAAAGTGGCCGCACGAAAGTGTCTTCCGTTTATCTCTTGGTAATTCTGAATCGTGAACGAATATCGTTGTGAACATTTCAAATGTGTTCTCCCAAGATGCGACGACTGCCACGCTAATCTATTAACGCCCGAATTATTTACTTTAAACCACTTTCCGTATGCTGTATTACTTGTATATCACATTATTTATAAATACCACAAAAAATTCAAATGAAAGTGTCATCAAGATAGGAGACGGGGCGTCAATGGGTTATCAGCCAATGCTTTAAAACTATTTGATCTTTGCATCCGAAACAGTGCTGTTCTTTCCTTCATGCCCTGATTCTAGATGTCAGAACTTTCTTGTTTCATGTCATTTTTTGTTTAGTAGTAACTTTGTTTGTTTTGTCTTGTTGTTTATTGTTATTAGCTATAAAAATCTTATATTTTATTTTCCTAAGGGGGTGACTGAAGTTCTGCAAGGCCTAATTTTATTGCTGACAATGTTGAATGCACAGCGTTACAGGTATGGTCAATCCATTGTCTTCTGTTATAAGTCTTCAATTTTTTTAATGTAAATTTATTATTGTTATAGCGATTACAGATGATCGCTGATGTGGGTTAGAGTGATCAGGAAGCACATTAAAATAGGACATCTAAATGTCTAAAGGTGTCCTAGTGCAGCATTCTGTGCTTTGACCAGGCGTTTTTAAACATGGCCATGTATCAAGTTGACTACCAGTGGTTAGTTTATGCTTAGAAATCTAGAGAAATATGTTGATCATGAGCATATTCAAGTTTAAATATTATTTTTAGGGCTTATACCATAATGGATTCATCTAGAATATCTACTTTCTTAATATCAATTTTATTGATAGTCTATGGCAGTTTCCGATCTCTAAATCTGGAACAAGAAGCTAGAGAAAGGGAAAGAGAAAAGGAACGTAGTAATTTATTGACTGGAATACTGAGCAATTGTAGCACAGCAAATGCAGATGGTGCTAATGGGAGAGTTCAAACATTGAATACAATGCACGCTCTCTGTCTACCTCTTGGTGCTTCCATTTCTCTGCTCATCATGTTTTTCTTTTTTGATAGCATGCAGATGCTTGTAACCATCTGTACAGCTAGTAAGTTTTATTAAAAGCTATCAGTTTCATTCAAAAGGTTTTGGAACAGATTCATTTAAATTTACTATAAATAACACTAATTCTATGCTTTATTTGCAGTTGTAGCTACAGTTGCATTGGCATTTCTTTTACTGCCTATGTGTCAGTACATTATTAGACCATGCTCGGATGGTAACAAAATATCGTTTGGTGTCTGTGGAAGGTTTACAGGTGCAGAATTACTTTCATTTTCTTTGAGTGTGAGTATAGTATGCATCTGGGTCTTGACTGGACATTGGCTACTCATGGATGCAATGGGTATGGGACTTTGCGTGGCATTCATTGCATTCTTTCGATTACCTAGTCTAAAGGTATCCACCATACTGCTAACGGGCCTGTTGATTTACGATGTCTTCTGGGTTTTCTTTTCATCCTACATATTCAGCACAAATGTTATGGTTAAGGTGAGTTTGAAGAAGATATTAATTTAAGTACATCTATTCAATAATTGTCAGTATTGATTATTGGTTCTCATTTTTTTTTAATAGGTAGCAACTAGATCGGCAGATAACCCAGTGAATCTTGTGGCTAGAAGGTTGCATTTGGGTGGTGTAGCAAGAGAAGCACCAAAACTTCCTTTACCTGGAAAATTAGTCTTTCCATCAATGCACCAAGCAGGACATTTTTCTATGCTAGGTCTTGGTGATGTTGTGATGCCAGGTCTTTTGCTTTGTTTCGTTTTACGATACGACGCATACAAGAAAACACAACTGTTACCAGGTGGTTGTGAAACGGGAGTTCCACCTCCGCGTCACATTAATCGCATTAGTTATTTTCACTGTTCCCTGATCGGATATTTTTTGGGTTTACTTACTGCTACTGTAAGCTCTGAGGTGTTTAAAGCTGCGCAGCCTGCCTTATTGTACCTTGTGCCCTTTACCTTATTGCCACTACTTACAATGGCATACCTAAAGGTAATATTAAGTCAATAGTCTCCTCTTCTATTATGTGTTCATGTACTATAAAGTATGTAACATTTCAGGGTGACCTACGTCGAATGTGGAGCGAACCGTTCATATCTCAACAACCTTCTAAGCATATGGAAGTTTGACAAGAGTCAATGGGTTTGTGTATATTACACATTATGGGAAGAAAACTGTTTATATGAATCCTGTTGTCATTTATCATCATATCCTTATTTTTATCAATGTCATTTAATGTAAGTAATTCATTTCTATTGTGCAGTATACATCGCTTAACGCTACAGTGCAAATTACGATTTCGTGTTTAAAAAGCGATAGATGTAATTTGCAGTGTAATTAAAGGTTTAATATATTTTAAACATCTTTTAATATATCGTCAAAAATGCAATATTAACAGTGAAAAGCTCACCGTATTAAATTGGAATGCAAAACAGTTTTTTAAAAACATATTTAGAATACTAACTGTTACGAATACATTGTTAGTATTCTTTTATGTCTCACATTCACGATTGAGCAAAAAATGGACTATATCTAATAGATAAAGTGAATGATATCAATTACTGTCTTACAATTCAGTAAGTATTCTAAACTATGTCACAAAATTCACTTAAAAATGAAAATGTCTTCTTTAGTTCTACAATGAGATTATGGTGGTAACTTTTTTATGGTCTCGAGATTTCTATTTTCTCTTCAGTTCTTTTTCTACATTAAATTAACAGCATATTTTACATGTTAATGATTTTGCTCTAATCCCATTATAAATGTGTGTGATACTCTGTGCAGAAAGTTTCTTTTTAATTTATTATTCAATGGATATCAGAATAATTGTATGTTATATGTAGTTACAAATAGAGTAATTTGATAATTATTCGAAGATTTCCACGAAAATCTAGTGAATGTATGTGTGTAGGTTGTGACTTTCTTTTACTTGGAGCTAGTATCGAACAAAGCATCCTTTATGAAAACCTGTATATAAATTTTCGTTTTTATAAATTTAAGGGTTAAAATTTACAGTTTGTTATTAGGATTAAACAGCAAGCGTTTCACTTGCCAAATGTCATGCTAATATAGCGTGTCATGACCGAGGTAATTGATAATACAGTCTTAGAAAAGATGAAAGTGGAAGTTGTAGAACTTCTATCATAAAACAAAATAATGAAAATTGAATTACATACATATTTACGTCTTGATTTTCAAGAACTATCTCGTGATAAGAAAAAGAGTTTATTATTGCAAAATAGAGTTTTTAACTAAGCTCTTGCTATGGATAGGCATCAGAAAGACTTTGTATGTTTATTTAAAAACAAGACTGAAAATAATATTATATAAAAGCCAATTTATTGCAAGGTCATTCAAAATCAATCAGTTTCTTCTGTTCTTCTATTACTTTATAGTGCTGTAGATTGATATAGTATAATACATAATATCATATTATGCAATGTGACACAAGTGAACACCAGTTGCTTTTGTAACATTTGTATAATTTGTAGTAAACTTCCTGAAAATTAGAGGCAAAGATGGGTTAATTATATAATTCTTGTTTTTGTACTTTATCAATGAGGATTATGAAAAGATTACATATATATATATAGACTGGAATCTATTTTACGAATAAGAACGTTTGTTAGAACATTATTATATTTTTTAATATAATCTGTTGTGCACCTAGAATGATATAGTGGTATTAGAGGCAATAAATCATTGGATGAACACACTATCAATTTAAAGTCATTTTACTTGGACATTTGTATACTGACTTAGTGAAATTCCATGCATAACACAGGTGAACAGGTATCACATCTGTAACCTTGTTACTCGTTTTATGAACAAAATATTTTGTAATTTGTTTGTCTTAAGTATTTTATTTTTTATTTTGTAATATCAAATGATCGATAATAGAAAGTATTATACAAAAACTAATTATCTTGGACCATCTCAAATGTTTATTTATACACAGATATTTTTTTACTTATGTTAATACAGTTCAAACTATTTATAATGAACTATACATACTTCATAAAATAAAATACTGTTTTTGATACGGTTTAATTAGTTTTTGTATAAGACTGTGACTGTTCTTTTTAATATTTGCTTACCTGTCCATAGCACAAGCAGTTTGCTCTTATTCATTACGCGCCCTTTAGAAGACAGTTTTTATGGGTAAAAAAAAATACTTCACTTATAATATAAGGACACAAGTGATAAAGTATATTTTAATTACTTCCGTTATGAAAAAAGAAAAAAGACTTGATCATCCTCGACATGGAGGAATCTAAATGCGTTTTAATAGATGTCGGAAAATGGTTAAGATTCAGTTTATCGTTCATTGTAAGGCCTCTTATTTTCGAACAAATCAACGTACGTTACAATACAGGGTTCATTCTACTGTGATGTACGTTTTAACTTTCATTTTTCCTTCCATTGTACATACTATTAAACCCTATACATTAATTTTATATTGTCAAATATGCGCCAATCCTGTAATCAATCATTCAATTGATTGTATAAAAATGACAAATCAATTTTTGTACATTTAAATTAAGTCGAGCGTTTTAATTGGAACGATTAGAGGTATTGTGCAATATATACTTTCGTTGTTACGAAAAGATCTGGGAAAGACTATTTTTCTTTTAGGAACATGATTGTATTATGCCTTTGTTTCAATTACAATTTTTCCTTTGATTCATATCATTTTTTTCCTTTTTGTACAAACAGAAATTAAACTATAATAATGTAGAAAATACCAATTGTAAGATTATACAACTTAGTTTATGGTGAAAATGAAAGGTGGATCAAATTATATATATTTTCTCTCTTATAGATTAAGTAATGAGCCACACTTTAATTAACAAGAGAGTCTTCAAGTCTGAGAAAAAGAATAATTTATTTGACTAGGATAACAAGTTCTGGAACGAAAGCATGTATATAAAAGAAACTGAGTACTCGATTGTCCTTCAGTTTTCCCACAAACTAAGTGACAAAAACCTATTATATATTTAGCGATACGACGTATGATAAAAGCGGAGCAAACGGGGAAACACATTTAAAGAAAAATTGGGAATTAAGTCGTAAATAGAACATAATTAAATGCTAAATATAATATAGCTAATACACTAAGAGCACTTTGCTTGTACTGTTGCAATTCTTGACTTGCATGTGTACAGCTATGTACATTTTTATATATAATAAAACATGATCATTTTCGCATGGTCATGTTAAAAAAAAAGTAAAGTTACTGAATAAACTTAATGTGTTCTTTTTCTATCATTTGTTTTACACATGTATACATATATGTGCATATATACATATATATATATATATATATTAACAATGTACATTGTTTTAAGTACAATTTTTATTTTCCAGTGGTTATGATAATGTGAACATAAATGAATGATGTTACAGTCTGCTGTATATTTTAAGAACCAACAACATATTCAGTTCCTGCTCTATAATTTTGTGCAATGTGAAAGATGACAAATTTTTTTACAGAAACTGAAGTTCTTATACAATACTGTGAATTACACGCTGCTCTGTCCCATTGTGACGTTATCTAAATTCCGTTTTATGCTCTCTAATTCGTTCATGTCAGTCACAGAGGATTCGCACTTATATACTACCAATGAATGATAAAAATGAACGGCGAAAGCTATAAAGACTATAAGAACTGGAATCACTATGATGGTACTGGCAGTTGCAGCTGTGAAAGAGTAGTCCCAGAATTTCACCCAGCATAGTATAGCTACTTCTACTAAAAATAGAAACAAACCTAGCACCGTGGAAAACGCCCAGGCTAGCTCTATAAAACCACGCATTCTCTCATGCGGGGATTCCGTTACCAGTCGTGATACCTGAAGTTTACTAATGGCTTCGATATTGGGTAACAAATATGTGCTTATCATTAAAGCAAAGATGTGTACTGATACTAAGACGGTTGTGCAAACAGCGAACATCACGAATAGCCATTCTGGTACCTGATTGGGGTCGTTTATTTGCAGTTCTACCATAGCCACCTGAAAGTTGAAAAAGTACACCGATACAGCATCAAATTTCAACGCTGATTAATATGCGTAATCATTATTGGTTTTGCATAATCGCCTTCACAAATTGTATACCGTCATTTAACCGCCATTGATCACGGAGATATATTTGACAATGAATTATGTTACCGTCAGCGCAAGATATATTGTTAAAGAAAGTGATATTTGTCTTACATAATCAAAGATGAGGCTGAAGATTACACAGAATTGTCGTCCACGTCTATTTAATGATTTTCAGGAAACGTTGTGTAATCCTCAGCGGATTTTCTGATTATACAAACATAGATTTCTTGGAAAATTTGCTTGGTAAAGAATTCACGACTACGACCATTTTAAATTTATGCGACTATGAGTATTTCCCCGCATACTCGGCATGCTTCACGTGCTATTGCTATTTTATAATTACATCATAGATTTGTCATGGAAAAATAGATATTAATTGATTGTTTGATCATCAGCGTAGCAAGTGATTACCATGATGCCAGTCACAGCGCTAATTGTTTCGTTAGAAAAGATGACACTATCGCGGCAATACAATGGAACGCTACAAATATGCTAATTCGCATTCAGAGGATTCACATTCTAAATGGATTATATTTCGAACAAGGTAAATTGCTTACCATCGCAAATCCACTTAACAATTCTGATGTCGTTGCAGTTGCTTTCAATTTAGCTCTGCTCATATGAAGTCTTCTCCATGAGAGGCCTTCAGGACCATCATGCTCTTCTACGGGAGGAGAAGATGGTGTTGGTGGTACCTGAGGTCCTGCACATGTACAGCAACATGTGTATGGTATATTACTTCCTGAGATATGACTGTTCGCGTGTTGACTTGAAAATGGAAGGCTACCCATCGATCTCATATCTAAAGCTACATAACGATTCGTTCTGTTCCTAGGTGACAGAACCAATTCACTTTGTGATGCACACAAGGTACTTCTGGAATTATAATAGGAATAATTTGTGTCACCCAGTTGAAATTGCCTAGATAAATAGGAAGAAGCCGGCCTCGTCCTCTGTGTGCTCTGAGGCAACTGGACGAAGTCGATCTGCGTAAATTTATCCGCTTTTCCAATAATTTCCTCGCTACTTCTGTATCTGCAGATAGTACTTCTTCTTCCATGTTTCTCGTTCATTGTCCTGTCATCTTGATTGGAAGTATTATTCTGTTTCAAAGTATCCTTTTCAACAAGATTGTCATTCGACATATTATCGTTCCTATATCTCTTATACATTTACGCTTCTATATCTCCAGAATATCGGTACTTGTTGCCAAGTCCTTCCCTACGTCATGAACGCTTCCTTTTGCTGCATGAAAGAGTCAAAGGATCGTGGCACGGTTTTCACGAATGTTCAATGTTATCATTGTTTCCTTCCCAACAGATTGAGTCACTACAGCTAGTCGTTCACACATTCACAGAGGTGCGATTACCATACGTTTAAGTCCCTGCTGCTATATTACATGCCTTCTGTTTCATCATTTTAAAACGGTACTGTCAATCTTTATTAAGAAAAAACCTATATAATAATAAATTTGATATCACTCTTTTATCAATACGTGTATATTGATGTTACAGCAGGTACAGAGTTGACCATCGTACTGAGAAATGCCTCACGTCTCAGGATATCATTTAAAAGCACTCAAGATGTCCGAAGGACAGTGTACGTTTTGTATAAAGTATTCCAGGCCGAACCATGCATTGCAAGTATTTATTTTTAAAAAATCCCATTAAGTATCACTCTTTCATTGACACATTTACGTTGGTATTGTAACAGGAACGACACTAAACGAAATTGAACCGCATTAACGACTTCCACATCCTTCAGGATGTTATTAAAGTGTTTCCGACCGTAGTGAGTTACCACCAGTCTTTGTGGCAGAACACTGACCGAAGGCTCGCGTCGCATCACCGAAGAACACACATGACGTACCCGACTGAATCATAACAATAGTATTAATTGCTTCCGAGGCATATCGGCTACATAATAACCAACTCTACGGCCTTAACGTGTGTACATGCTGTATATACTACTGCAATGGGTATCCCCACGTCTCTCTTCTTTGGCGCGTCTACCGCGACCGCGGCCAATGACGCTTGTTTTCTTGACTTTGGAGTGGAAGATAAGACGACTCAGTGAAGGTATTCGGGAAGGTACCTAGACAACAGTTACAACAACGTTAGCAGTGCGCAATTATCAAAGAAACTACCTTGGCTGTTTCTAACTGTTTTAGGCACGCGATGTCTAATATTAACATATTTATCACTGTGCTGCAGAATTTTGCGCATTTATAATAAATTAGCATAGAAATTTAGCAGTGCAAAATTCTAACAGACTCGAGTTGAATGAATTTGTATATAATATTTTTTAGCGAGGTTGCAAGTTTAAATCGCTTTAGCTATTTTAAATAGCCTGTCTGGTATCAGTCGATGCGTTTCTTGTTTGCGAATAATATCTTTGTATGTCTATATACTGATAAATGATCCGTGAGTCGCTGGAAAAACCATTTTCAATTGTGACAACACAGCGAGGATCGAAAGATTGGATTATTTATTAAAGAACTGGCTATCTTTATAGTATCGCCATAATTTGCTCTGTCAGGTCCAACGTTTGCCGATAAACAATCGAATAGTTCTCAATCGAATCAGATATCTGCCATTGTATTCGAAACAGGTTTTTCGTATTACCTAATTTACGGAGTCTATGTGTACTGTATAGTTTGGTTTGTATTGCATGAAATGGACGAAGAACTATGCGGCATGAGTTCCTAGCAGTCGTGCGAATGTGTGTCATCAACGATTTACAGGAAAAGTTTCATCTCTTAGCAGCTGATTTGCATATGTAATTGCACCGACAATTTAGTAGGAATTGTGTAGATTAGTCTACAGGGAACCGACTGGAACGTCTTCACTCTTTTTTGTAAAATTGATTCTTTGGACTTCAGGTAAAACACAATGTACCTGAAGAATCATGCCTGAGATATGGCAGAACTAAGAAGTTAAAGAGGACATTCGAATAGAAGAACGGTTTGGTGGAACAATGTCATATTATGACATACAGGTAGCTAGGAAAAAGAATGAATACCTGTGATATACTGCTAATAAAAAAAATTAATTTTTAAATTGTACATTTGTATATTATTAAATAAAAATAACGTATGTTTATATTTATGTTATAGTAATTATTTGGCGACGAATATCTGCTAATAAATAGTATTATTGTTGGTACAACATTTTACTTCTGCCTCTAAAATGTTTATGAATTTATGAGATAATCAAATTGTTAGCGCCTAAAGTGATGCAACACGCCGCGCTTCAACAACTTCGTTTGCGGGTTGCATATTCTAGGCGTAGCTGATATTTTCTGTTGCGCACATAATGAAGAATAATTTCGGATTTTGACGGTTCGTTTATTTCCGTTTCAAATGCTTTGAATTTAAATCATCTATACATAGAATTACAATAATATATATGAAATATTGTGTAAATAGTATTGCATAATACTTTTCGATTGTTTTCAGAAGTTCCACTGAATTGAAGTTCATGCAACTATATCATTTACATTTTGTACGATTCCATAGTAGAAGACATTACTTTTAATCAGTTTTTACTGTCAAAAATGAATTTATTGCCATGTTTTCAATTTTGAGTACATAGAATGCTCTAGAGTTTTTCGAGAAATGAAGATTCGCTGCGACGCGTGCGCAAAGAATCTTTGATCTTCAAACTGTATATAGTTGTTAAAGCTCTGGCAGTTCTCACGCATAGTCTACAGGTGAATGTGATGGCATTTTACAATTAGTTTCTCAACAACAGTCAAATGTGTTTTGCGAGTGTACAGAGGACTTGATAAGAATTGTTTACCGTTAATTGTTCCCCGAAATCTTCCGCAAAGACGTTTTACGGCTTGCAAAACTTGTAAAGCCGAATCGAGAGGTATAAACAATCAAGTGCCTCGATATAATCTTTCTCGAAGGATGTATTTGCGCGCGTAACATTGTGTACTTGTTTTCCTGACGTTAATATGCGTTTGTGTAATACACGGCCCACTTGTAGTCTACTGAAATTGAAAGGATCATTTTTTAACCAGGGAAACCGTGTAAATTCGTTGTTTGTATTCACCTGTATCATTTGAAAAAGTTCTAGTTTTTTTACTTGTCTGCTTGGAGATTTTGACTTTAAAGTGTATTACAACATTTATAAAAATGTAAATAACGCGGTTGCGTATGTAGATTGTGGGATAAATTACTTCCGGTTGTTGTCAGTTCCTATTATTTGTATCCATAAGAGTATTTGTGGTTGAGGAATAACCTGCACAGTGAACAAGTCGTGACAATCGGAGGAGGTAGAGGTTAGCGTTTAGCATACGGTTCAAGGATTTGTATCGAGTGTTTTTTTCGCGAAACTTGTGCCAAAAATTGGTGCGAGTTGCACAACGGTTAAATGCGTTTGGGTGATTCCTCGGGAAGCATTGTTTCTCGCGGCGCATATTCACAAAGGTTGAACGGTCCAACGATTTCTCGGTGGCTCCAAATGACAGTAAGTTTATTTCCTGTTTGTTTATCGGTACCTTTAAGTGTGGTTGCATTTTTGATGCAATATTAAATATTTTCTCTTCCGGTTAAGAATTCAATGGGAGGAGCAAATCTTTACACACCTCCTTCTATATTCCAACATACAATTGATCAGCAGAGCTTGCCTCAACAACCTAGTCCATGGATGCAAATGCCACAAGTGCCTCCAATGTCGATACCATGGAGTGTACCATCCCTGCAACAATCGAAGCTAGTCAGATTTACTGGTGGATCAAATTTAGAGTTGGTCCTTCATCAGAAGAGAAAACTTGAAGTTTCTGATATAGTGGATACGTAAGTTATTGGATCTTCACTTTCATGGTTTATGGTATTCGAATATAGATTGTAATAAATTATTATAATGTTACAGGAGACAGACAAAGCAGTTCATAACAGAAGAAAAAATGGCAGCACATTTCAGAGATTTGCACATTAGTTCAACTTATCAGCAACAGTCTCCTGTCCCATCTACATCAACAGCTGATGCAGATCTGGTTTCTCATAAAGAATTGAATATGGATCTAGAAATTGGAGCAGCAAGTATAGTAGATCCAGATCAAGCAAAGTCTGGGCATCCCAAATTGATTCTTTCAGAAGAACTCAAGAGAATGCAGCCAGAACCTATTATTCCATCGTCATTATTATCTAAATTGTATGTTAAAGGTTTATTTTCATAAATATAAAATATACATTGTGTTGTACCATTATTGTTAGGAGTTCACTTTAACTATTGTTTTTATTGAAGGTGCTAAAGCTTAAGAAATTTTTTTCATTTTAGGGTGAGGCCCTCCATGGCTTTAGTACTTTGGCAACCACCAAACAAACATCTACGAATTCTACCATCAAGGGTTACACAGAATCCAGTTTCTAGTTCATCTGATAGTAATAACAACAGTAATAACAATAACAACAACAGCAGCAACAACAATAACAACAACAACAATAATAATAATGAAGCTATTCCTAACTTAAATCAGACATTGCAGTCAAGTAATATACAAGCATTTGAGCCAATGGAATTATGAAGGTAATCATGTTAGAATATTCTTTACGTCTTTTGTATACTGTTAGAGAAATGAGGAATAAACTAATGACGAACATAAAAAAGATATATTATACTTCATACTTCTTATTCAGAGCCAAATGTTTGTATAATTTTACAAATTAAATTCAGGTACAAAGCCTTTTTTTACAAAATCTTTTTATTGTTCAGTCAATTATTCGGTAAGCATTTTTTATTAATTTTAGGTTCAGGTATGTTTACTATATGTTATAAGATCTGCAATCATTGTAACAGACATGACATAAACATAAAAAATAGAAAGAGGAATAAGTAAGACAAACAGGTTCCTTTGTAGACTGCACATAAGTTGGATGTGTGTGCCGATGGAATGAAGGGGAAAAGTATATGTAAGAATGTATAAAAAAATTCATCATGAATGTTAATGCGTTTAGAATTTCTATAAATACTATTAATAACGTTCGAGTGTAATGTAGAATTATTTTTCTGTTTGGTATGTTTTTGAGTATGTCGCAACTTACATTTTTAACCTTTGGATATATAGTGAAAATTAAAATGCATAGGAATAGTAAATGAGTAATTTGTACCATAGTAGTTTTATTTGGTATATAATATGTACACAAAACGTAATGTTAAGTCCGATTTACGAAGTACAATACAATTAGCTGTGTGAATCGTGTGTGTTTGCCATTGTTTGTTGCGAATGTGTGAACGATATACGATGATTTTACATAAAGATATAACACGTTTCATTAACATTGTGTTTTTTATTCATTCATGACTAATGCAAAGTACAGAAAAATTATCAACTTCATTGAGAAATGCGGGAATGCTCTTAAACTTTTACGATCTACCTTTCCCACAGACGTTAGTCACCGTTACTTCTAAGTCGGTAGTCATATGAGTTAGATCTTCTTTAAAGACTTTTGGATCTTGTACAGGGTCGCCATTAATCGCAAATGCGACTTTTTTGTTACTGAGCATAGTATAGTGGTTGCCCTCCAATTCGTGTACTGTTACCTTCCCATAAGTCAACTAAAAAAAAGTGTTATTGTGTATTACTTTCAATTTTACAGAATGCATAAAGTCCGTATCTTAAATAATCGTGATGCATCAGTTCGATCAAAGGAAAGAAATATCTCTTGCGTTACCTTATGCAATCCGTAGGTTTCATCAGGCATGGGTATGGAAGTTATTGTCGGCTTCAGTAATGTGATAAGCGTTCTCAGCGGTGTCAGAGGCTCAGGGTTATACTTGTCTAATACTTGCAAACGCTTGTATATAAACGTGGCAATTGCTTTTTGTGCCTCAGTGGAATACGTTTTGTTCACTTCAGGTGATACATAATTGGACATCCTATCTAACTTTTCTTCCCAGGTTGTGCATTTGGCCAATTCTGCCGTAAACTGCAAACAGAATTGATCATCAAATTTCCTATGGTATAATGATAAACTTGCTATTTACCTCTGTTGCACGAGTCGTATTGGCAATTTTCATCATATCGACTATAATATTGTTCTGAAAGACATCTTCTGAAGAGGACTGAATTTGTGCTTTTATGGCCTTCATGTAATCGGGTGATCCATCCAGAAGTAGAAGTTCACCAACAAAGCCATGCATTTCTAATCTCCTAACAATCTCGATGGCTATCATTGATCCATACGAGTATCCTACTATTTTAAACACTCTTTGTTCCTTGATTTTATCTAGAACATACTGCACAGAAACAGACAATTGCGATAGATCTTAAAAATTGGCAGTCAGTTCCTAATTAAGTTGACAATACATACAGGTAAAAGACGGTCTGCCATTTCTTCTATGGTCAACCCTGTATCGTAAATTCCCAGCTGTAAACAACTAGTTGGAACTTTAAGATATGGCACTAATACATCAAAGATCGCCTCGTTTCCTTCGATACCCGGTATAACGAATACTTCATGTTTCTTTTCGGTATGTGTTACTGGAAGTTTTATGCAATAATTAGTATTCAGTATCGATACAGTCATCGTTTGCATTAATAGCTGAACGCCAACTAATTGCTCTGCTTTCGAAACTGTCTTCACTACTTGTTTCACTTGTTTTTTAGTATCTTTCGCAGACATTTCTATCAGCTTAGCTATGTTCAAAACTCGAATGTCTTGGGCAGTGAGGAACACCCCGAAGTCTCGTTCTAGGGTTTGCTTTATTTCCACAGCCATCATGGAGTCCATTCCGAGATCGGCTAAGGACGAGTTCTGGCTAATACATTTGAGATCCTTTATATCTGTATCAGAGAAACGGTTCAATTAGACACAAAGTTTTCTTCACAAATGTAGTAGACGATGAATTATCTTTTTAATACATAAACAATTATAATCTAATTTATTTTTCATTGAAAATTCCACATGAAAAATCCTTTACATTATTTGTGATAGGGTACCAAATTTACGTACTCATAATGGCCATCACTGCTTCAATAACCGTGCTAGCCTCGTTAGCACTTGGACGTTTCTCTGCTACTACCATGCTGGCCACAATCGGCCGACTTTGGCAGAGGAACGTATCCAACTCTTCCAAACACGAGGATATTCTCTGTTGCAAAGTTCCGCTGACCACGAGCTGTTTCTTTTCCTCTAGCATCTTAGCGGCCAGGCCAACCTCTCCTACTGCTCCCCATTCTATCGCCATGCCTGGCAGACCTTCTTGTACTCTTCTTTCGCAGATCCTTTCCATTACCGAATTACTCATACCGTAATTGGTTTGGCCAGGAGTCCCTCTTCCGCACGAGATAGAAGAGAACACAATGAAATGGCGAAGTTGTGGGCAAATCTTCCTTGTTAACATGTCTAGTTGTTTGGTAATGCCAGCCTTGGGTTTCATGCTCTCCTCGAATGAATTCTCCGTTTGATTCACTATCAAGCAGTCGTTCAACAACGCAGCCAAGTTAAAGACTCCATCGACTGGCGCTTGCTTTTCCGCGGATTTCAAGATAAACTCGCAGTCTTCGTACTTCGATGCGTCCACACCGGAAATGATCAAAATTTTCGCACCATACGACTTCCAGATTTCGGTCCTTAATCGTTGATAACCAGTCTTTATTCCATTGCGAGAAATAATCACCAGGTTTCTGGCGCCTCGAATCACCAACCAATCAGCCAATTCTAGTCCTAGACCACCCAGACCGCCAACAATCACGTAGCTCTTATTCGGTTCGGCGTTAAAGATAGGGTAGCTCAGCACAGGCGTGTTGAAGGGTTCATTCTCGTCGCTTACCTTGATCAAAACCTGCAAGTAATTGAATGAATGAACAAGCGATATCCCATGTAAAAGTAAGTCGAATATTCGAGGAATTGGGAATACTATCTATGTGTTAAATGCAGAAAATTATTTCATTATTCGCAATTTAACTGTCACGTTAACAATTTTGATATAACTTAAGTATAATGAGTGCTCACCTTTCCTATATGCTTTGCAGCAGCCAAATGTCTGAAAGCAGCCTCTATTTCGTGTTTCTCGAAACACTTTCGTTTTAAAGGTTTTATAGTCTTATTCAATAGTTGCTCCTGAATAAACTCGTGCAATTGTTTACAAATATCTGAACGAACTCCAGCAATTACCCTGTCTAATAGGACTCCATGGAAGCTGATTTCCTTTAAGAAAATCTCCATTCCCAGTTGATTGTTCGCCGCTAAGTCAAATTTACCGATTTCCAAGAAACGACCACGGAATCCTAAACATCGGACGGAAGCCTGCAGCTTGTCCTCTGCCAGTGAATTTAAAACAACGTCTACTCCTCTCCCGTTGGTTTGTTTCATTACCATTTGCTCGAAACTCGTGTCTCGAGAATTACCAATGTGGTCGTCAGGGATAGAGGGAAACGTTTCCCTGATAAATCGCCTCTTCTCTGCTGTTCCTACAGTAGTGAAGACTTCGCATTCCTCGGAAAGAGCTATGTTAATAGCAGCTTGGCCAACTGCACCGCTGCCAGCGTGAATCAGTACTCTCTCGCCCTTCTGTAATTGCGCAAAGAGATAGAAAGCGTACATCGCAGTAAAGTAGGCACTGGGAACCGTTGCTGCATCTTCAAGCGACCATTCGTCTGGTACGATCCATACATTTTGCTCCTGTGGTATGGTGAAGTTTGATATAGATCTGAAGAGATAATCAGTAATGTTAGCTGAATAATTAAATCAAGGAATTTTAAGACATTTTTGAAAATAATCTTACTTTTGAGTGAATCCCATTACTCTACGCCCACTGGTGTCTATTCCACTGAACTCGAATCCGATCAAGCAATTGTTTAACTGTCTTTGAGTTATAATGGTTTCTGGCATCAATTTACCAGTGGCTAACATAACGTCTCTAAAGTTTAAGGAAGCGTAGACTACTTTAATGAGATTTTTGTTTTGCAAGTCGGGTTTAATGCTACCTGCCATCCATTGGAAGGAACTCAAATCTCCTCTCACCTATTATATGGAATAAACAAATAGAAATCGCTGTGCATTTGTGATCAAATTATTAAACAAGCATTTCCACATACCTTGTAGTTTACGTAGCCATGAGCTAAGGGGATCGGTTTCACTGGCGGTAAAGGTAAATGTCTGTAAGTACCCCAAACCTTTCCTGGCCGCAAGACATTGATACCAATGTCAATGTCAAGCTGATTATAGTAGAACGGATCATCCAATGAGAATTTGGGGGCATGCTCGTCCTGTATTATCACCGCCTTTACGATTTCCCCGCAAGGTTCTCTCCTTAAACACTTCACCATACCTAGAGCACCGTTGTCCAGGTCCTCATCTGCGACCAGGACTAATCTCACATCCTTCTCATGGCTCTTCTTCCCACCTTCAGTCTGCAACACTTCTTTCACCTTGTTTAGCCAGCTAAACTCATTATTGTTAACAAAGACAACCTCAGTGTTTGGAGGAGATCTTTCTCGTTTCTTCAAGAACAATAGTATTTCATCCTGGCAGCATTTCTCTAGTATAACGCTTAGTTCATATTCTTGAATATACTTGTAAGTATCACTATTTACTGTAGTCTCTTTAGTCAAAATAAACCCATACTCGGGAAGTGACTGCATAAGTTGGTCCAGATAATGTTGCCTCTTCCTTGTCAAGATGTTGTAAGCGACTGCCATGTAGACAGAGCCATCCTCCGGCAATTTGTTCGGTTCTATTATAGTAACATTTTCAAGTTCTGATAATTTCTCGTACTGCTCTGTATTAGCGGCGAGCACTATTTTTGGTCGAATCATCGGCAGGTCTCCGAATACTTTGAGGATGGTAGGCGTGAGGACGTCTTCAACAGACAAGTTGTCCTCAAGATCGATCAACTCGACGATCTTCGGACTCATTACTATATTACTGTCAAGAGCTATTTGGGAAGACAGTATAATCATTTCCTCTAGGCTGGTCTCCGCTTTGTCCCGGTTAGCTACGAATTTGTACTCTTCCAGAATTGGGTACGCCATTGTTTTCCGTCGTTGTATAGCATTCGCTTTTAACCCTCGGATTTCCACACCTTCAGAGATTATCGCGTCATGTTCGTTATACACGTAAACCGGTAGATCTGCAATGTTTGTTTTCGTTGAAACTTTGCTCCTTTGGAAAGACGCTTTCCCACACTTTTAAGAATACAAACGTATTAAAACAACATACCGATTGTGTCATCTGTAAAATTTCGAACCTTCTCAGTGTGAGCCTTAACGTCCACAACCAGCTTCCTGATAGCTGTAGGTACAAACAGAGCTCTGGTCTCAATGCCTAGTAATTTGATCTGCATCAAGTTGTCCAGATAGGCGGCCCAGTTCTTCCTCCACAGAATGTGCCCCCTCGTTCCTTGAAGGGACGCGCTTTTCAATCCACGGAACACCCCTGTATAATCATAACCGCGGAGCTTCAACTCCGTGTAAATGTCATTGGTCGTCAAAGCTTCTTCGTCATCTATTTCCGTTAGAAATTCGGGGGAGATCATCTCTTGTGTAGGATTATTTGTAACGCGAATTGCTCCTGTTACCACAGTTGTGGACTTCTCGGATATCTCGAACTTCCCAGAACCTGGAAGCAAAGTGGTCAGTTTCGAAACCTTGAATTTTTCAGGTGTACTCTCCAACAATTTACCTCTCTGAATCATGACTGTTAATTCGATAGAGCCCTCCTTGGGAATGGTAGTCGCCCGCTCGAATCTGATATCTTCGAAAACGACGGATACTTCGTCGAACAACTTCCCCTGTAACATACTGATAGTCTCCCAAACCATAATCAGGTAGCCAGTAGCTGGAATCAGGTTTCTTCCGTCAATCACGTGATGAACCATGTACTCGTAGGATTCGTCTTTCAAATCAATCTCGACGAATCTTTCCGATGAGGTGATCTTTTGACGCTGGCTGTAGACTGGCGCGAACCAATCCTCAGAATGTTCCCACCTAAAACATCGTCATCTCTAATAACTGACACGCACTTTTAACATTTCTTCATGAATGTATCGTGCTAGTATTAACTTTATATGAGGAGAGACCATGGGAGTGCCACGACTAACAGGGAACTGAACAGGCGGATAAATGTTTGCCAGTTGCGGTTGCAATCCCACGTTGTAGAGCTTCCCAAGAGCTTGCAGTAAGTACACGGCATTGTCTTCGTGACCACGTCGCGTCAACGGAATGTTTGTGACTTCCGGATCCAATGATCTGTTCAAAATAGCCTGGAGGAGACCGTGCGGAGCGATCTCGATGGTTATCGCATCGCTGGGGATCATTGTAGCAGTCTCCGCAAACAGTACAGAATTTAAGAGATTGTTAGTGTGGTATTCTGCAGAAGAAAATTGTGCTTCTGGGGAACACCATTGACTCCGGGCCACTGACGTGCTCAACCATTTTGGACTTCGGGGTTTCGGGTCAGGGATCACTTTTTTCAGATATGCCAACAGCTTTGGTCCAGCTTCAGCGATGTAACGGCTGTGATAGGCGATGTTGCTGCACGGTACTTCCTTCGCAAAGACCTTGCTGGCCTGAAAGATGATTCTCTCGTTAACTCATTCTCATCATTGTGCAATAAATATTTCAGACACGGTCTCTAGGATCTATGCGTATCACGATACAAGTTCAAGACTAAGGTGAAAATGAAAAGAACCTGCAATTCAGCTACAAATTTTTTCATGGACTCTGCTGGGCCGCTGATGGTGGAACTGTCTGGACCGTTGTGGCAAGCAACCTCTATGTCCGGTGGACAAAGGTCCTTTATGTCCTCGTATCCAAGACCAACCGCCGCCATGGATCCATGGATCATCTTCGTCTCCAAAGATGCCAAACCTCTGGAATAGGCTGAGAGAACCATTTGCTCTGCAGTGAAACATCCATCCGCATAAGCACAGCCCAATTCTCCCACAGAATGACCGATTATGTTGTCGGGTACAATACCCACAGACGTTAATAGATCCACCAGACCAATCTAGGATTATTAATGCTTTTTATTTGTGCATGTAATCAGTATTTTGAAGCCCAATGATTTCTACCTGAATCGCAGCAATTCCCACAAATGAGTTTAAAATGTTGTCGAAGGTCTTTTTGTCCTTGTTTGTAATGATATCGATGATGTCCACGCCAAAAGGTTTCAGAGCTGCATCGCACTTTTGTATAGCCTTGGCAAAGATGGGGAACTTCATCAGTGACTCACCTGTTGCGCATGAAGCCATTAATGTCTAAATTGTAAGACGAATTAGGATATTTGCCAGCTAATATGGTGACAATTTTTACCCATGCCAGGCCACTGAGATCCCATTCCAGAGAAAACAAACCAAATAGGTCTTTTTATTCCCGAATATTCCTTAATTTCCCTAAGTGGTTCCTTCGATACTTTTGACCCAACAATGGTGTATCCCCTGGACAAGTGTCCAGCTATATTTTCAGCATAAATGTCGTGTAGCAGTCGAATATACTCCACATCGACTGGTATACTTTCCACCTACAGAAAGAAACAAACATTTTTTAACAATGATCATCTATCAAACCTTCCCAACGTGTTTACTCGTTTAACTAACATAATCCAAGAAAGTTTCTAAAGCTTCTTCGGTACGGCCAGACACAGTGACAAGTCTAGGCAACTCATCGGTAGGTGCGCCGTTGTTCACCTTCTCCTTCGTGAAAGATTTCAATAGAATGTGAGCATTTCCACCACCGAAACCGAACGAATTTATGCCCACGTAACCACCATCCCATGGTATTGGATCTGTGACCACCTCTAGCAGTCCTTCCTCGAAGGCTTTTATACCCTTCGGAGGGTTTTTAAAGTGTAGATTCGGTGGAATTAGTCCAGTCTCCATTGCAATTATAATCTAGAGAAAGATTCTTCGATGTTACACAAATTCTAAGCAAATGTTATTGAATAAATTTCAGTAAGGTGAAAATCTGAGGAAGCGAAGCACACCTTAGCTACAGAGCAAAGACCGCTGGCAGGTTCGGCGTGACCTAGATTGGACTTGATGGAACCAATCTTAAGAGGAGAGGTCCTGTTTCTGCAGAAAACTTGTTCGATGGCATTTAGCTCCTCAGGATCGCCTACACTGGTCCCGGTACCGTGAGCTTCTAAATAGGACAAGCAAGTTGGAGGCAGTTTGCATTCCTGGTAGAAGTCTTCTAGTAGCATTTTCTGTATAGCGCTGGCGGGGAACGTGATCCCTTGCTCCTTGTATCCGTCGCAGTTCGATTTCGTGTAGATTATCTTCGCGTAAACTCGTTTCGCGTCTTTCGCTTTTTGCAGCAGAACCACGCTGATCGCCTCGCTTCTTACGTAGCCGTTCGCTCTCTCGTCGAAGGATTTACAGCGGCAGTCCGTGGACAAGACACCTGTATTTCAAATCTAGCATTATTTCTTATAATAAACTCTCGTTGGTATAGTAAAGCTTCATTAGATTAAACAATTTCAATCTGTTTATCTATTACTGTACTTTTCTAGGAACTTTGCTATACGGTACCGAGACGAGCGAACTGAAGAGACACGTAAGGATGGAGACATAGATTTGAACCACCCACGAGCACCTGATCGCAGACGCCCGTTCGAATCAATCTGTAGCCCTGGTCCAGCGCGACTAAACTCGAGCTGCATGCTGTGTCCATCGCGTAGGATGGGCCGTGAAACCCAAAGTAGTAGGAGATCCTGTTCGCCAGCATGGCTCTGCTGCAACCGGTGATCCCGAAGCCGTTCGTCTAAATCATGTAAACAGTTTAACACGTTGAATGCCATGGGGTCACCGGTGACCCCAACTAAATCGAATTACTGGTTCACTCCATTAAACGATTATTTGGAAACATTTGTACATTATAAATAGTGCTACCTAATGCGATGACATTGATGGACGTGCAATAATAATATAATTCAATCGAATGATTCAATGTGTTAACAAGTTGCTCAAGACATCTAATACACTTCTTCTTTCCTTATTTAATGAAGTGATTAACCCTTTGCGGACGAAAACTCTTTGAAGTACAAAGCTTGTAACACGTGAAGCTAAATTATACATTGAATGCTTAAACAATAGTAAAAAGGGAACACTGATCACTCGCTGTTCAAGTAATTAAATCATTTTGCAACTTAGTATTCCAAATATGAAAATTTCTGACCGAAATGTCGACATTCGTCCGCAGAGGGTTAATAAATAGTAAGACTAGGTACTCTTCCAAGCTTCCGGAGACTAGCTATAGGAAAAGAGTATCTATTCACCTGCAATTTCTCATAGAACCAAGTCTTTTCCGACTCGCTGATGCAGGACCCGATAATAACCCCTGTATTCGATCCCCGCAATTTCTTGGGATTAATCCCGGCGTCCAGGATCGCTTCGAACGCATGCTCCAGCAGCATCCTGCACATGGGGTCCAACGTGTGCGCCTGCTTGTAGTGGACGCCGAAGAAGATGGCATCGAATTTGGACAAGCCGGACACCTTGCCGCCTTCCCGAGGTATATCAGCGTGATCTGCGCAAACATACTTAGATTAGTCGACACCCTTCACGACCTCAATCAGTTCTCGCACGCTCCGAGCATCACCTAGTCTCCATCGCTCATAGTTATCCGTGATCAGGTCCACTTTGTTCAGCAGGTTCTCCTTCAACTCGGCCATGTTGTCGGATTCCGGGAATCGACCGGCGATGCCGGAGATCACCACCTCTTCGCCAGGTTCCGGTGCAACATAAGGCACCATTTTCTTGTTTCGAGAGTTTTCGTCTTCCTTCATGACCATTCTTTCCTTGTGATTTTAGACGTTCTACGGTCAATGGTCAATACTCCCCACAAAATGCCAGATGTACTGGACTGCGATTCAGAGAGGAATCAACTTTTGAGCCGATTTGTCGGATACCGATCGCGAATGATCAAGGATGGGAATGGTAGTCAATTGGTACCCGATCAACCCTGGGGCGACATATACGACTGAAGAACGAACGAAACTGAGAAGGACTTCTTATAACAATTGTCCTCCCCACCTATGCAGGACTAGCCGGCTCTTTTCTGAATATTCCGGACGGCGATTTGCATAATGACCATGATGAATCGGCAGATAGAGCACATCAGCATTTCCCCTACGCGGAGCTGAAGGGGGCTGATAGTAAGTGGTAAGAATTTCAGTTGCGGGCCAAACAGACGAATTTTGATGCTTGTACTTTGTCTTGCTTTTCCATTCTTCTGTGTTTCCTTTTGTCATTGTTCACTCTTCCAGGGATACTGGTTTTACTGTTGAACATGCGACCTCGGTGGATCCATTGACTCGTTCACTGGAAACCTAAGATTATGTATTATTTCAACGTGCCACAGTGAAAGCAAGAAATTGCAAATTTCTTGCGGTAATTAGGCATGCAGACTTCAATCGATGTTATGTAAATTACTTACGATCCGTCGTAAAATTATTATTCAAACCCAGTGTTACGCATCATTCACTTCTGTATCGTGATACTTTGTAATGTAGTCGAGTTTTGCGATCGCTTTTCAACAATTGTATGCAATTTGATAAGAACTCTACTTTCTCGTCTGATTGATAATTCATTATATTTGATTCTTCTGCTATAATTCATCGCGTAAACACATTGGAATCCGAGTACAAATAATTGATTCGCAGTAATAAAAATCCAGTTTTAGCTGAAAGTGTAGAGCTCATTTCTCTTATATAATTTGTACTTTTTCTAGCATGTACAGTCACATTTCATTGATGCATTTATACTTCATTGCATTGAATACAATTTTTGTTAAAGTCAACAATCGAACTGACTCTTCAATGAAATTGTTCATTCCATTCGCTTATAGAAACTTCCGTTCTTGAAAGCTTAAGTATCTGTACTTGACAATAGAATAATTAACCCCTAACGGTCACATGTCACCTCCCACACGACGTTAAAATTTTTACCATAGCTTCTTACGTGACGAAGCAACATCTTCTTCATGTGGAAAAGTATTTTAAAAAATATATTTTCCTATTTTCTATTATAATTGAAACATTCGATTATCGTTTGTTTATAAGTTGTTTTTTATACGGTAAACTAAGCTTTCAGATAAGTAACAATGTAATACTTTTCACATGAGGTGAAGCGACGAGCTAGCAGCGAGGCCCGAAACGTTGACTTCCGGTATGGATTAAGCATCAGTCATTGCTTAACAATGAGTATTTTCGAAACACGTGAACCGCTTCAATGAATATGTTTCGGCTATACGAATGTCAAGGGTTGCCGGAAGTCGCATTACTCTGCATACATAAGCGGTCCATTAGCTCTCCTAATTGCATTGACTTAGTCAAAGTTCTAAATGTAACATTTATCTTTTACTACGAAGTTAAACGCTGACGCTATTAATTACAAAAATTTTTATTTTTATTTTACACAAAGTTTATTGACATAGTCAAGAATATATTATTGTCGTAATAATCGTATCTCTTTAATAATATTATTAATATAATTATTAATGTAATCCTTAAGCCTAGGTATAGTCACCGGTGCTAAGTACCGAATTTTTAATCTACTTCTTAGAAACAAAAATTACCTGGTATGGAAAAAACTAAAAGCTCGCGGAAAGTAAAGAAAAGAAATTACTTTTACAGCATGTATAAACATATTAAATTTGGTCAGTTAATACTACGTAGTATCGTACAAATTCTTTGTCGTAACAAATCTTTGAGATCTGAGTCCGCGGTTTTTGTAGCTGACGGAAGGGAACTAAAATGGAACATAATTAAACGTAAAGTAAATATGTAAAAAGATGTTCTGCCGTGAAGAACATTTGAATATTCGCTCGTCGATTATGCGTTAGGAACAGCATTAACAAATATGTATAAATTAAATTAAATGTATAAATTTTGTCTGCTGAATGTTCTTTGTGACTCACTGTTCTCAACCGTTATTAAACGTCTGCAGTCTTTCTCTCAATTGTTTTCACAATTCCTAGAAACGTATGAAAATCATAGATAAGGTAAAGAATATTTTAATATTTGGAAACACCGGCGAAATGTACTTTCTTCCCCTGTCCATCCAAAGCTTCCATCAAGCTCGACGTGAAACTGAACTCTGAACTGCTTTCGTCGTCTTGATCTCTATAACAGAAAATATTTCACGTAGAATAAGATTTCAATCAGAATAAAATCTTTATAAGTGAAAAGTATGAAGATACATACAAGGTGTCCAAACTCGTAAGGCTGCCATTCACTTCAGGCAAATTCGAGGGCCCATCTAACTTCAACAATTCCAAAAAGGAGTTCACCGTCGCTAAATAAATTCCTTTCGATCCAGCCACCCCCAAATAACGAGGGCTGGATAATTCGATTAATGTTCGCTCTGGATTTTTTGTCTGCGTGGTGTACGAATCGTGGCTAAGTTTCATGATTTCCACAGACGAGAAATGAATAATAAATAAGTAGGGTTTACGGAAAGCTGTATAAAAATGCAAAACATTAGCTACACGTGTAAACACAATTGTCATAAGAAAAAGTAATTCTTAATTTAGTTTACCAAAAGCGAAAGGCAAGTGGTTCCACGTGGGATCGACGCTTCGTGTTCTTTGACCATTTTCATTCACGAACATTCCAAATTCACTATAGCAGAGTAATAATTCTACTTTTCCAGGTACAAGTGAAACGTTCAGAACGCAGACTGGGAAAATACCTAGCTTGGCTACTCCGGACAACGCAGCTTTTACCGAGCTGTCATCTTCTTCAGGGAATTCTGACATCATATATACAAATAAATAAATAAATAAATAAATAAATGAGTTTTCAATAAAACCAGGTAATTGCATTACGTACCATCCACACAATAATTCTTAAGATCTATTTGGAAGAATTTGTTACATCCCACAATAAGGATGTTTTGAGTAAATATGGCACAACTGCATGGTTCATGAGTTTCGAGCTCGCGAACTCCAACAAATTCTCCAGTATCTTCTTCAGTATACCATTTTAGTAATCTATATTTTATTGCATAAGAGGGTTAATAGAAAAGAAACAAATTATTATATTTCAATTGTAATTCAAGTAATCATAACTTACATTACATGGGATGCAGTTGCTGCACAAAGCATATCCCCCTGCAGCTGATACAAATGGCAGCTGTCCGTGCCAGTCAGAACTGGTTTGGTATTGATTGCCGGCCTAGAACACTCAGCAGCCACCGCGTTGCTCTTCAATTGCCTTAGACTACAAGATACTAATTGCCTATTTTCACCAGCTATCATTAAAGCTATGCCTAAATGGGGATGCAAGGTTAATTGATGCACCCGTTTCACCCCTCTAATTGCAGTAAGCGTGCGTGATTTAGCGCCGGAATAAGAAAACAGGCCTTCCTCAGCACCCAATAAAAGTACATTTTCCTCGGTTAAATTAACAGCACAATTTAAGTCCAGCTAAAAGAGAAAATGTTAATTGTTAACAAATTAAGAATACATTGTTGTCATCTACAGTTTAGATGCACTGCTTACTTGATTCTTTTCTAGTCTTAGTATTATCTGATATCTCTCGTTTTTATAACCATTACTCGAATAATTTGTACTAGTAACAGACTTCAATGCTTTCAGCCAATTCTTTTTGTCGGTTTGGCTCAAAGTCATTACGTCTAACCGTGACGTGGGCCAACAGGTGGTTGAGGAGTTTGATTCTATCCTGAATATAAACGACAGATCCGACTTCGCTGTTCCCATTACATCTGGTTGCTGTACATTTTCGGATACAGTGAACCCATCCTTTTCAGTCAGTTCCAGACGACTCACGGGTGCCATACCAGGGGATGGCTGGTGTTCATAAGTACATAAGCAAGTTCCTTCCAATCTAAGATACTTCCTTTCCCAACAGCTTTTCGAGCGGTCTGGAATCTTCACCCAACCTTCCATGGTGACACGATTGTTATTTGTTGCCTGAGCGTCGCATACATCCTTAAAAATGACAGAGAATGTTACATTTTATACATTACAATCTAAACGATTAAAATACAACGGAATATCATACTGCGTCCGGTTTATCTGGTTGGTCAATGGTCAAAGTCTGAACGCTTCCAGACGCAGAAGACAAGCTCTCGTCGCTGTTCCTCCAATTTTTGCCAAACTGTTTGACGAAGCCTCCAGGCAAGCCACAAGTAGCAGGAACGGTAACAGCACATTTCAAGTGTGTCATTATTTGACACTCGCTGCAAATGGCCGCTCGTTTGCCGAATTGAATAGAATCTAGACATGCAGAGCACTTTCCTGCACGCATAGGTAAACCGACATCGAACCTGTGAGGGATATTATGCCCCATTCTTTGCGGTGACAAACGTTTGGCCAACGAATTAGTCGACTGTTCCGTTGCGTAATTTGCGCCTCTCATTTCTGGAGCAGTAGGAGACGTCGGAGCAGAAACAGAAGCGTGCATAGCTTTCAGTGCCAATAACTGATCAGTCAACGCTTTAACCTTTGCTCGCTCTTTTGCCAACTGGTTTTCTAATTCACGGTAACCAACTGGCATCCCGGTTCCGCTCGGAGGAATGTTCTCCTTCTGTTTAGTGCCGAGAATTTTATCGCACACGGTTTTCTTCTTTTTACTACATTCCTCCAACTTGAACTGAAGGTAATCTATCAACTTCGTTTGCTGTTGTCTGGTGCTTTCCGCTTTGACTTCTCTCTCCTGATAAAACTGTCTCATCTCCTCTAAGATACTCTCCAATTCTGAGATCCTCATTCGTAATTCCTGACCTTGATCCACGCTGTTCTGCAAATCATTCATAAGCGCGAAGTTCGCTTCTTTCAGTTCATGGAATCGCGTTAAATGCTGGCTACTTTCTTCCTTCACTACTCTTGACTCAGCTTTGGCTATTTCTAAAGTACGTTTCAGTTCTGAGAGGTCGCACTCCAAATCCCCGGATTTCGTCGTTAATTCCTCCACTTGACTACTGAGTTCCTGTACAAGCTTCTTATACTGATCTCTCTGAGCCAGTAAACCGTTCCTTTCGCTGTCTATGTCGCTGGCTTCTGACTCGAGTCTTTCCAAGTTACGTTCCGCCGCCAATCTTAACGATCTTTCCTCGTTCTGAGTAGTACGCATTTCGCGAAGTTTCGCCTCCGTTATTTCTAAATCTTTCTGCAACTTCATCTTGTCTTGAATGAGTATATTCTCCCGTGTTTCATGGTCACTTGTCAACCTTTCGTAATCTATTAGCTGTTCCTCCAATACTGTACAAGTTTCCTTGAGAAGTTCTATGTTCAGTTCGTAGCCTTTGATCTCTTGCTCCAACTTTTCTATTCTGGATTCCAATTCGTTCTTCTCTTCGGCGTGCTTGGCAATCTTCTGGGTTAGTCGTTTATTTTCCGTGCTCAAACTGTCCACTCTGTCTTGACTTGCTCGCGATTGCTTGCGTGCTGCGTCTAATTCTCTGCGCAACGAAGCACTTGACGATTGAAGTTCTTCTATTTGATGGTTAGCCTGAGTCAAGGCCTATACCGAAACAGAAGAATATAAAAAATGTAACAATGAAGAAAACAACGTAGACTGAATCGAATAGAATTAAAAAAATTAAACCACACGCGATATTAACTTAATAAAATTTGCAAATACAGAATCCTGAAAAATATTTACTCTTTGAGCGGAATCGGCCTGCATTTTATTTCTAGACGATTCTTTTGTTATGTCATTTAACGATGCCTTCGCGCTATCTAATTCCTTAAGGAGTTTTCTCGATCTTTCCTCTTCTTCTTTTATTTTATGATCCAACCTTTCTGATATCTTTTGTTTCTCTTCTTGCAATATTTTTACTTTGTCTTCCGCCCTTTTACTCTCCCTCAAAGCAATTCTTTTATCCAAATTAGCTTCTGACAATTCTTTCTCCTTCTTCCATAAATTGATCTGCGCTTGCTTTGACGTCTGCCGTTCTACATTGATAATGTCCCTCATCGTTTGGATTTCCTGTTCTAATTTTTGTACTTGTTCTTCTTTATGAGTATCGATTTTTAGCACAGCCACTTTAGGAGTAACAACGGCGCTGGTTTGTTCTGTTTCCATTTTCAAGGTAGCATTTTCTGCTTCCAGTTTGGTAACACTATGCTCTAAACGTCTCAGTAATTCTTCTAAATTACCAACTTTTCGTAGGTGTTCCTCTGAGGATGATTAAAAGTGATTGTTAATATTTATTTACAGAAAAAGGTTAATTAAATTTGATAATGTACCTTCTTTCTCCAAAGAATCCTGCAACCTTTTCTGCAATGCTGCTTTGTCCTGTGCAGCTTGTTCTAAATTCATTGCAAGAGCTTCACTTTGTTCTAAATTCATCATGGTTTCACTTAGATCAGACTTCATCACCTGTAAATAGTATTTAGATCAATGTAAATATTTTCACTTATCACTTATGATTGAAGTTAATGTTAATTGCATACTTCTAATTGCTGTCTCAATTGTTCATTCTCAAGTTTTGACCTCTCCAATTGTTGTTGTAATGTGGTCACCATTTGTTCTGTCGTCATAGCATTGTCCAATTGCTTTGATCTTTCTTGCAATTGTTTTTTCAAAGCTTCTATTTCAGTGTCCCTGGCTGGAATTGTAGCTTGTATACTACGCAATTGTTCCTGACACTCTTTAAGTTCATTTTGCGCCAACTCTAAAGCAACATTTAACCTTGATTGGCGACAATGATTAGAATCTTGTTCATTTCTTAATTTAGCATCCAAATCTATATTCTTTGCTGTTTCCACATCTAATTTTGCTCTTAATTCAGCCAGCTGATTGTGTGCTCGTGTAGCTATTTCTTCAAGTTTGGTTTCAACGCCTTGAACACTTTGTCTGCTAAGTTCTCTAGTTTTAGCTAGAGATTCTTTATATTGCATCTAATAATAGGAATAATAGTAGTAAATCATTGATCCATTGTATTTGAAAAATAAATCAAAACTCTATGTATACTTTTGAAAAATGTAACTAGATTTGGTGTTTTACTAACCTGAAATACCCTAAGTTTATGCAATTCTGCATTTGCAGTCTGAAGTTCACACTCTGTCCTTTGTAGTCTTGAACTCATTTCATTGTTGCTTGTGCACAATTCAGTAATTCTTATAGTCTGAGCTTCTATGTGTTTATTGAGCTGTGCAACTTTGTCTTTTTCCGCATTCTCCCACTTACGTTTTGCATCTTTTATTAAACTGAGAGCCCTAGTTTCTAAATCTCTTCTTTCCTGACGTTCTAATTCTGCCATCACAATTATTATTTTTTTGTATTTCCTTATAATATAAAACAGTTTCACAAACTACACTTACTACAGTGTTTAAGCATATAATAACATGTGTGTTATAAGACTATTATGATGTTCTATCAATATAACACAAAACACTAATAATTTTAATTATACAATAGATGATAAATGTAATTAGAAATCATGGGCTAGTTACAAAAGTTTCATGATTTCTCTATTGATCAGTGTAGTATAATGTGAATTAAAAAATAAGTAACTAAAATGCAAAACTGTTTTTACCTAGTGTTCTTTTTATTCCAGTCACTTCTGACCTTGTTGCAACTAATTCCCTTTCCAATATATCTCTCTCTTTATTAAAAGTTTCTAATCTTTTTGTTTTCTCTTCAAGTTTCATTTCTAACTGAGCCAACTGGCTAACTTTATCTTGCAAATTAAATATCTTCTTTTGTTTTTCTTGAAGTTCCTTCTTTTTATTATCCAACTGTGCTTCCAATTCACTCTTTTCTTTGGAGAGCTTCTCAAATTGGGCTGAATGACGTTTATGAAATTTAAATTCAAAGATAGAAGAAAATTCTTTTTGTGCATTTTTGGTAGCCTCATCTGTTTCTGACTCGTGAGTTTCTCTTTCGCTACCTACAAGAATAAAACATTACAATTGATAGAAGATACGTACTATTAAAAGTACGATACTCTATAGATCATTGTAATGAATAATATATGTGAAACCAACTACAAATATAAATTTTAAGAATCATCTGATTCATCAAGATCCATTTTGTATTATTATCTTATGCTTTACCCAGGCTTCTTCTAATCACAGCAAGATCACATCTAGCAGTCCTCAAATCTTTGTCCAATTTTTCTTTCTCTTTCGTGGAAGTCTCCATTCTTTCCATTTTTTCCCCTGGATCCTCATATCTACAGGACAGTCTACTTCTCCCACAAATTTTGTTATAATGTTCTTGAAATTCTTTTTCTTTGTTCTCAAGATCCATTCTTCACGTTTTTCATGTGTCTCTTTCTACATAGGAGTGAATCAAATCTTGCTAGAAGATGTTTGTTTCAAACATCTGAAACCAAAAAGAACCTATTTTACAGTGTTTAATGTACTTGTAGAACTGACTAGAATAACTGGATGAGTTGTAATCACAAATCACAAAGGAATTCGGCGTAATGCAACAAATACATTGAATTTTTTCTTGCCATGTAGATACACGATCACCGAACTTTGCAAGATTCCCGCCGTTTCTAATTTATACTTATTAAATGATACGAACGTTCACGACTTTACTATTCGTATAAATCTCGTGGGTCGTACATTAACATTTGCACGTATTTATTCATTGTAAGACTATAATAACTAACGAGCTTGCGTTTGGTTTAAAGCCTGCACCATTCGTAACGGTTGCAGGTCAAACTCCATGTTTCTAATTCAAAAATCTGTTTGACGCCGATGGACGAGTATGCTTTCGGTAGATGGCGATACTTTCGTAATAAAAACAGTTGTCCATTTAATTTCAACAATTTCCAAAATCAACAGCTAAAAGAAAAGGTCGCACACTCATATAAATTTCCATTAACGTATTGGAAAATAAATGTTTTCATTTGACAAATAATGTATACAAAGTTTGATGTCTGTGAATTAATTTCGTATGATCATTATATTTAAACAATTCAAACTAAAGATTTTCTTTAAAAAAAACCTCTGCAAACTTTAAAAAATGCACATTAAAATCTATATAAATTGAATAATAATTCATTACTGGTTTGTAGAAATGAAATCCTTATTAAGGACAAACGCAAATAATTCTTACCGCTTTATGCATTAAGCTCCAGGCAGTCAGCGGCGAGAATCATCTGCTTTTTAAAATATGTATTTTAAACTAGAGCCGCCATCTGTGGCAAAACTCTCAAACTAGTAGCCAAACGGTATCGACAGGTAAAAGTACTCAGAAAACTGGTGGCGCCTCTAGTGGCAAAATGCTCAAACTGGTAGTCAATCGTTATCGACAGGTGAGTGCACTCAGAAAACTGGTGGCGCCTCTGGTGGCGAAATGTCCAAACTGGTAGCTGCACTCACCTGTCGGTAACGTTTGGCTACCAGTTTCAGCGTTTTCCCACGGATGGCGCTACTATTTCTTATTTATGTACCTGTGGAACACGTGTATACATAAATACATACACATACATACAGTGTATTCCTCTATATACTTTAATTGTAAATAATTATTTATTGCAATGGAATCTCTTCAAGAAATATGCCAGTTTTTGCGACCAGAAACACGATTAGACCTAAAAGCAATTGCGTTGCAACATGTGCTCGGTATGTACTTATATTTTTATAATGTTTCCCAACCTTAAACTGTGGTCTTTATTTCATTTCACAACTGTTTAATATGTATTAATATTGTCGTGTTTATTTTAGGTGTAACTGGATCTGCAGAAGGACGGGAACTTCTACTTAAGTTTCCCGAGTCATTAACTGACTTGATTGCTTTAACACAGGATTCATCTACATCAATTTCTAAAAATGCAGCGTTGGCTCTAATAAATATAACTGCAGATGAAGCAGGAACCAATGCATTCTTAGTAATTTCAGAAATGACCAAACAGAATCCTGGTGTTAAATATAATTACAATTTAATACATGTTTGTATTAGGTAGACATTATGTTCCATATGTCCTGGAGGTTTATTTCTTCTGCTTTGAATTTGCTATAAACTTTTTTAGATTTATAATGGACAAGGAGAGTATCCTAAGTGATCCATGTTGTATGATACTTTCCAATATGACCAGACCATTGCATTTAGTAGATAGAGTTATAACACTTATCGAAGAAAGTGGATATACATGGGACAGTATTGTTGCTGCATTTACTGCAATGCAATATAACAATGCTGGTGCTAAATTACATTATTTAGGGCCCGTATTTAGTAATATTAGTCAGTCTTCAAGAGTCAGAAGGTAAATAAAATATATTTGATATTTGAAATTATAATTAATGCTATATATTAACCTTTCTTATCAAATTATGTGATAGGTATTTAATGGACAGAGACCGTAGTGTCATCCAAAGATTACTACCATTCACAGAATATGCAGACAGTATAATAAGACGGGGTGGTATAGTAGGGACACTGAGAAATTGTTGTTTCGATGTAGAAAATCATGAATGGCTGCTAAGCCCTGAAATAGACATTTTATCTTATCTTTTATTACCACTAGCTGGACCAGAAGAATTTGATGACGAAGACAATGACAAGTTACCAATTAATTTACAATATCTTCCAGAAACAAAGACACGAGAACCTGACATAGATATTAGGTGAGAAATATAGTTTAAGGGTTACTGTTTTTTTTAAAACAGATTTCTGATCTTAATATTTTTTTAGAATCATGTTGCTAGAGGCCTTAGCTCAACTATGTGCCACTAAACAAGGAAGACAAGTGTTGAGGGAAAAGAACACGTACGCGATACTTAGAGAGTATCACAAATGGGAAAAAAACAAGAATGCTCTTTTGGCCTGTGAAAATGTTGTAGACATTTTAATCAGGACGGAAGAGGAAATAGGTCTGGACAACTTGAAGGATGTAGAAGTTCCTCATGAGTACACAGAGAAGTTCCATCAAATGGACAAAGACTTTATTAATAGTGATAATTCATGATAAAGAATGCCTGTATAATAAACTTTATGAACAACAATGTTTCTGTTTTATCTCACGAATACTGCATACACTGTACATAACAAAATAAGAACAATGACTGGCGATGAAGCGAGACTTCAAGTGATTCACGACATTGCACTGTTCCCTTCACTAACAGACTATCATCAAATTACAATAGATTTCTCAGGTCCAGTGTAGCAATAAAAAAACCATACAGATACACATTAATGAAAAATCACATTCAAGTGCAATCAATAAGTCAGGACTACATTAAATTTGATTAAGTATTATTGTAAGTTCGTTTTCTTTTTTTCAGAAATTAATAAACAAGTTGATATGTTCCTAAGACTCGCTAATTTTGAGGTTCCATTTAAATTGAAGAACAGAAAATGACAGAACAGGTACATGCCTGTATAAACTTCACGAATTCGCTGTTTCGTTTGCCATTTTGCGTCAAGTAAACCGCTAAATTTAGCACGCTCGATTCAGAGTCACTTTTGCTGAGATCAAGTCCCGCAGAAATGAGTGTATGATACCGTTACGAAGAAGACTGGTACATTTCTGACACATTTCTGCGAAGCATGTAGACAAGAGTACCGTTATTTAAATAATACCCGTATACCCGGTACATTGGTCCTTTCTTTTCCTATTCATTAGTTACAGCTAACATTCGATTATCGTCTAAACATAGATTTCACTTTTCCTCTGTCAACCGGCTCATGCTTGCATAAATAAGTGTCATCGTATTCCTAGCTGCATCAATTAACAAATACTATTGAATATAAAAACGCACACAATGGAATATAACATTGGAATGATACTATTATCACTGGATCCATATTTAACAATCTGCAGTACAGATTTTTACTTGGATATCTAACAAGTCATAGTTTCTATTTAATCAGACGAACCGTCCATAGATTCCGAATAAGAAGTCCCACAGTAAGTTTGTTCAAAGGCGATGCTTATGTGACTCTACACTCGATGTTTGCATCTTTGAAAATGATTGGTATCCTTTCTGAAACTCTTTGGCACCCGTAGCATCAATTATTTCACAAGATTCTCGCTTCTCCAGAGAATTCTCGTTGCTCATCCTGTCAAATGGACCATCTAAAATCATATATATCTTTCAATCCTCCCCTAAGCTCTCAAATGCGAATGCTTCGATACAAAGTGAATTTTCCGACGTGAAAACAGTCTGCCTGGCCGGAGGGGTGGAACGGGACACGTTGATCAGGGCAAGTAGCCCAGACCAGCCTCCAAACTAATGGAACTTCTGATGCTGGAGGCGTTGCTGGCTCGTCTGCTGATCCGATTCGAGTCAGCGCCGAAAACAGCCGCGATTTCCGCGCTTTTCTTTATCGAGAGTGCTTCGTGGTGGGCCCCGGATCTGCTGGAACAGTGGGAGAGACACTTTTTGTCCCTGTCCGCGCCACCGACGTAAACCAAACGTCCCTGAGTGTCTCTGGCACTGACTACTAGCACCTTCTCGCTGTCGGAGGACTGCTGAGACTTCCTGCCTGGGTTGAACAAGTCGTAGTCCAGCGCCAGGTTGTTCGAACTGCCGTAGCTTGACGACGACTGCTTCTGAAACGAGAGGTTCCACCGATTCTAACCGATCCGCCGAGCAAACTCTCATCTTCGCGACGGTTCTGCGAACGTTACGACTACCGATCGCAACTGACTCCGAATTTCCTCGCTACGAAGTTCCCGACGTTCGACTGCAAGAACGGTCGAGGTGCATCGTTAAGATGAACAAGTGCCGTGTTTTACCTTGAGTACATCCAAACCTTGGGAAGGCGTTCGATTTCTGCTGGTTCTCGTCGCCCTGATCCGCTCCGGACTTCCGCCCCTGCTCAAAGTGCTCTCGGACGGCACGATGCCCCTCTGTCTGAGCTGCTCCAGGATCGTCGGCTGGACCGGTTGCCGGGCGCAGTAGCACTTGTTGCTCTCCGAGCAGCTGTCCGTGTCGCAGGAGCAGACGACCGCGTTGCTGACGACCCGGGGCTGAGGAGGGACCCTCCTCGACAGCGAGCAGTAGCACTTGTCCGCGGAGACGCAGGTGCAGGACTCGGAGTCGTAGCTGCATTCGCTGCAGCTCACGTAGCCGCTGCTGCTCCTGTTCGCGGCTGCGCCTACGCTGCGACTCAGTCGTCTACCTGCGATCACCGGGGTAACAATCATTCGCCGGGTCACGTACAACTGTTCTTTCGCGCGGAGGATGCGCCGTCTTGGGAACGTTAGATAAAAGAAATCGTTCAACGTCCGATCGCCTGTTTCTCAGACACTGCTCGCAGTTTCAGGCTAAAAGCAACGAGGACGATCAATTCAGCTTCGGTATTCTACTCACAAGTGTCACTGTCCTCCGAGGTGGTGTGGCAACCGCCAGGCTTGCTCATCTTCCACGAGGACCTCCTCTTCACCAGTCTGTTCGCCAGCACTCGGTTTCTGTGGTTGTTCCTGACGTCGCAGGAAGAGCTGCTGCCGAAGCTGTCGTTCAGCCTCCTCGCCGGGAAAATCACGGACGTGAATTCCGTGGGCCCGCCCTTCAACCTTGACACGGACCTCTTGATGGCCCTGCCCAGCAAGCAGGTCCGCCGACTGGATCGCCTTCGTTGCGGTCTTCGACGCCTCCTCATTATGCTGGCCGACCTCTGGTACAGCTCGTCCTGCGTCAGCGTCGCTGCCAATTTCAACAGGAATTCTTTGTACAAGGGCTTCAGGTCGTTGAAGGACATCCCCTCGGGGTCTGCAATTGGACAAGACGCAACATCAAGTCGGGAACTTCCTTATCGTTTAACCCTTTCGTTACGTGGTGATTGTATTTTTATTTACAATAATTGCAAATCTCCAAACATATTGTCATGTAACACTTAACCACTTGACCCACGATATCGTGGCACGCGACGAAAGTTTTAAACTGGATTTCATAAGAAATGAAGCAATTCTAACGTTTACTCTATGTCTACATGTATCCCAAAGGTTAACGATTGATAAGAGAAAACTAGTATTTAATTTACATTGAAAAAATGAAAGAACTGGATTCGATAAGTCTAAGTGTTCTTTCATTTCTTCAATGTATATTAATTACCAATTTTCTATTAACAATCGTTAACCTTTGCGATAAATGTAGACGTAGAGTAAGCATTAGAATTGCTTCTTTTCCTAATGAATTATTAAGGATAAAGTAGTATCAATTACAGTTAATAAATCGTAGGGCAAGGGGTTAAAAGAGTACGATCCGGAGAATGACGAGGTAGCGTCGAAAGACGTGCCCCGTTCAATGGCGTCACTCCGGACTGCCGTAACGAAAGGGTTAACAAGAATCCAAGCGGTCACTTCCGCATATCTCCGTACATTCATAGAAGTTTGTTCCAGCGATTACCTATAATGGCCGCCAGAATGTCGTCCACGCTAGTCAGCCCCTCCTGGTTCCTAAACTCATCGAACAGCTCGGTGAATCCTAAGGGCGTGCCGCCCTTGATGCTGTTCGGCCTCCTAGCGCTGCCAGGTTTCAGGAAGCTGCCCCTTCGCGGCAGTTCCACCCTGGTCATCAGGTCTCCCCTGTCCATGTCGACGTCGCTCTGCGACCTCTTCAAGCGGCCCTCTTGCAGAGCCAGCAGCGCCTCCTCGGACCGACCGACCGGAGGCTCGCTGCCGGCTCTGCTCCTCTTCCTGACCCTCGGCTGACTGTACTCGGGGAGGTTCAGGTTCGACGAGGAGTCGCACAGGTGCTTCTTCAGGGGTTTGTCCATGGTGACCACTCTGCTGAGCCTCCTGCCGGACGAGACCTTCTCCTGATCCTTCGAGCGTCTGCGCTCCACGGACACGGAGTCCGCCGGATCCTGGATCAGCTGGTAGGTGTCGCTTCTCGAGGATTTGACGATGTACACGTCTTCCTGGGAGTTCCTCGCCTTGCTCCTGAGTTCAGCCTTGCTGCTGAGCCTGCTGCTCCGCCCGCTGTAGACATCATCTTGCGCGATGCTGTAGATCTTGTCAGCGTCTTTGAAGTGCTCCTCGTAGATCCTCTCCTTGCTGCCCCGCTTGCTGCAGCGCTCGTACATCGAGTTCTCCTCGTCCTTGCAGCCGGACTTCTCGACTCTGTCGTACACCGCGCCGGGCTTCGAGGGACACGCTTGCCTCTTCGCGGACTCCGCGGACTGATTCAGATACGAGCTCTTTTCGTGCTCTTTGCTCTTCTGTCTGACGTCGTTCGCTCCCTTCACGGGACTCTGGCTTCCTGGGCTAATCACCTCCACTTTCGCTTTCACCGGCAGCTTCTCGTACCTGTTCAGCACCCTCTCGTAGAAGCCGTCGGCGCCCGCGTCGTAAACCTTCTCCGCTTCAGCCGCGCACTGCTCGATCTTGGCCTTCTCCGGAGCGACGTCGTGGTACACGTTCTTCGAGTTCTGCAGCTCCTCCTCTTTGCTCAGCTTCGAGTCGAAGCTCTTCTGGATGGAGCCGAAGCTCTGCACCGTGGCTTCCGGTTTCTCGCTCGGTATCGGCTCCGGCCGCCGCCCCCGAGCCTCCAAGATGTCCTCCGCTTTGACGTCCGAGTTCTTCTTCTTCCTTCTGGGCGCTTTCTGCACCTCCGCCGGCTTGCTGCTCTCGTCTTCCGTGACGGAGCTCGACACCGAGCCCTTCTTCTTCATCCTCGGCGGTCTGACGGGGTGCGGCGCGGCCGGCTCCGCTTGCGGAACGCTCGTCCGCGCGCTGATCCTGCTGCCCGGACTCGGCTCTCGCACGCTGGACGTCACTGACGCCAAACTCACGCAGCCGACGCCGTTCGCCTGTCTGGGACGGCGACGGTTCGTCTCTAGATCGGCCAGCAGAGCTCTGTACAGCGTCGCCGCAGCCGCAACCGCGTCCTCCTCCGTCTCGCAGGCGAACGCGTGGCACTCCAGCACCCTCGTCGCGCCAGGCCGACGCATCACCACCGCAAAGACTGGCGGGTAACTCTCCACGGACGCTTTCAAGCCCCGCATCGTCCTGTTAAATGTACGTTTTGTTAGAACTTTGCTCTGGCAACCGAACTGCGGAAGTTTAGGTATTCCTCAAGCGCAATCTGTAGAATTTCAATCAATTTCCGCTCGTACTTCTTGCAAACCAATAGATTGACGATTATAGGAACGCACGAATGTTCAGAAGCTTATTCTAATTCTGTCCGAATACTTTCTCCGTTTGTGAATACATCGAAGCCAAATCCGCGAATCGTGTCACTCGCCGGAACGAGACTGAAGCCGCTCCGGGTCCAAGTTCAACCGGTTCCGAGCGACCGGAAATAATTTATGATCGCCCGGGTCCGGTATTCGACTAAAATCTCGATTTCTCGACCGATTAATCTTGGTGACGCGCGACCGATTAGCACGTTGAATGCCATGGCGGTCACCGGTGACCCTCAATCGAATCGAATTACTATGGCGATTATTTGGAGGCATTTGTATATTACGAACAATGCTACCTGATGCAGTGACATTGAGCGAGATGAGCGTGCAGTAATAACGCAGTTCAATCCAATGGTTTACATAATATTGTATCTTTTTCATTTTGTGTATTTCTAGGAAGCTGCGCGGCGTTCAACGCGTTAATTCTCTGGACACTCGCCTGTAGAGATGCGCGTGCACTAATAACAACGCGATTCAATCCAGTGGTTTACATAGTATTGCATCTTTTCTATTTTTTGTATTTCTGGGAAGTTATGCGGCGTTCAACGCGTTAATTATCTGTACACTCGCCTGCAGAGGTCCGCGTGCACTAATAACAATGCGATTCAATCCAGTGGTTTACATAATATTGTATATTTTCCATTTTGTGTATTTCTAGGAAACTGTGCGGCGTTCAACGCGTTAATTCCCCTGACACTCGCCTGCAGAGGTCCGCGTGCAGTAATAACAACGCGATTCAATCAAATAATTTAACACTAGAACTACCGAGAATTTAATAGGATTAATATGCAATTCCCATAAAAATTGTAATAATAAATTATTTTCAGTTTCTTCGGACATTCATTATAGTACTCAAACGAAGCTATTTATTTTCAAAAGCATTTCGAATATTCAATGCTTCGAAGATATCAATAATTGCTAAACAAAAAAGTCGAAACCAGTCATTTTGACTGGTACGGTAGTTCTAGTGTTAATATTGTATCTTTTCTATTTTTTGTATTTCTAGGAAATTTTGCGGCGTTCAACGCGTTAATTCCCCTGACACTCGCTTGTAGAGGTCCGCGTGCAGTGAAAACAATGCGATTCAATCCAGTGGTTTATATAATATTGTATCTTTTCTATTTTGTGTATTTTGCTGTAGAAAACTCGCCTGCAGAGATGCGCGTACAGTAATGACAACGCGATTCGATCAAATGATTTAATATTGTATCTTCTCTATTTTGCGTATTTCTAGAAAATTTTGCGGCGTTCAACGCGTTAATTCCCGGACACTCGCCTGTAGAGGTCCGCGTGCTTGTCCTCGCCGGCTTGGCCCTGATCCTGCTCGCCGACCAGCGGCAGGAAAGCGTGCTGCTGCTCGCCGGACGCGGCCTTCTTCGAGCGCAGCCTGAGCGCGCTCCACACGGCGATCCTCCGGAAGGGGTTGTTCCTCTCGCATCCGTCCGTCGTGCGGAAAGTCAAGCCGCGCCGGGACACCTCGAGTTTCGCCTTCGTCGAGAAATCCACGCGCTCCAGGAGCTGGCGGAGCGGCTCCTGCAGGCCGCGGACGCTCGCCACGCGGCCGCCCACTGGAGCCGCTCCCATGTACTTTACCTGCAAATTGAAAGCTTAGCAATGCGCGAACTGAAAATCCATTAAAGCTGCAATAGACGCACTTTCGGAGTTTTAAAAGAAAAATTTCAGAATCTCGATTTAATTGCTTGGTAGATTTAGCGTTGAATGCTTTTGCTAAGGACAATTCTTTAGAATCGTTTGCTTTCTTTTCGACAATCGGAGGAAGAGGTCAGCGATCCAGGAGAATTCCAGTGTTAAAGAAATCGATGTTATTCGCTGGAAACGAACTGCAGTAAGGCTCTTTCACTGTTATCAGTGTTCTACTTTCAAAGTAAAAGTGCGGTTACAGCGAACAGAGAGTATCTCTACACCGGCGCGTCGTTAGTGATAAAATAGACTCGTAAGACGAAATCAGTAGAGCGGGGATAAGAGAAAATTGATGTATTTTGAACGGTAAAGCATCATTCTTTGAGAATCTCGTCGCGCAGGCGCCTACGAGCGCTTCAGGCGAGGTCATTATTGTCAGACACTTTGCAGACGGTGGATTTACATGAATCAATCGCCCGCGCCTTCGATTTCAGGCATGGCGACGCGATTTGCATCGGCTTAATGCGTTTGGGATGTTACTTTTATCCGAAGAATTCCATTCTTTGAAACTGCGGCCGCGAGTTCGCGGATTATCGCGTCGATTAGCATATTCGCTTTTCGTTTACAGTTACACCCAGACGTCTGGAACGCGAATCCTCGCCGATGTTACATCAGGCAACGGACGTGCGACATTCGGGTGTCAGCGGAACGAAGCGGGGAACGATAAATCGTTGAGAGAGCCAACTGAATATGAATTACAACTCGCCGGGATGAATGGTCGAGAAGGAAATCTCGTTTGGAAACCGAAAATGTGTCACGGTTCGCCGGCAGACAATCGAAACTCAAGTGTGTTTCGTTGACGTCGCGCGGCGTACAGTGGAAAGCTCTTTCTTCGAAGACCCAGAACCTGTTTCGCGGACGGCGGCAGCTTCTGAGAACCGCGAGAAACTATCAGAAACTCTTTACGCCGCGTTTTAACACCCCTCGTGTTGTCCCCGCGCGTTCCTCATGTCCTCGATGCGTCTCGCAGATAACGCGCGCATTAAAGACGACATTCCTCGGCCTCGCGACAACGCGATACGTCGTCCTCCATTTTCTTTCGCGACTGCGTGCACTCGCGCTTCGTACCCGCGCTCTGAAAAATCATTTGAAACGCTGGAAATCCTCGATAAGGCCGCGGCACTGTCGATCAATCCTGTATGACTCACGTCGCACACGTTCGCGTCCTGGCTCTCGTTGCCAGCGGGTTCTTTTAACATCGAACTGACAAGTTCGAGTTTTAACGAAGAAGTGAAATCGTAGAACCGTCTTATGACGTATCAAAGTCGTGAAAAACGAAGACCTTCGAAACAGCGAACAGATATTGAAGTAGGATATTTCTCACTTTTTAGTTTTTCCCTCATAAAACGAAGGTTTATAAGTTTCCCAGTATTTTGTTTTACTGATACTGAAGCTGAATATCTATTTATAAGAAATTTATGAAAAAAGTTGTTCATTCTCGGTGTTAACCCTTAGCACTCCAGATTGTTTTGTAATCTATCAGCAGCTGCAACTAATTTTTATAGCATTCCTAGCGAAAATTAGAAGTGCTATAACATTTCTCCGATCTTTTATTTTCCTTGTTAGTACAGAATTTGGATGTGTGGAAAATCGAATAATTTTAGGGTGGTTTCTTTAAGATTCATTAAAATATTTGATACTATAACTGGTGCAATATTGGAGCCTACAGAGTTCAAAGGGTCAACTATTCGTTTTTCGCTGTGAAGTCTGAACTGATTCGCCTCGGTCTACTCTAGTTGAATTATTGGTCTATCTACTTGAAAAGTTCCAGAAGATCGTCTCGAAGATCGACGAGTGGACGTGAACTCGATTGAACTCGGCTCTACTCGAGAAGTATCATCGATGGCGCAACGGAACGATGCGGAAGAGGAGGATCGGCCGTAAAGTCGGGGCAATAAGAAAAATCCGCGTGCCGATGCGGCAACGAAGGGGAATTTTTCAGTGCTCCAAATAGGCTCGGTAGCCCGTCACGCTCTGTGAATCGTGAACGGAACGAAAGTGACGATTAAGAATGCCAGGACGACGCTGTACCGCACCCGAGGAAAGTCCCGAGCCTCTCCTTATCTTCGGTCGAACCGCAACGGCCGCTTATCGCCGATTGTTCCTCGAAGAAACAAAAGGAACGCCGTGTCCACTCGAGAACGGATGCTGCAACTTTTTCGCTGGCTCGTTTGCTCGGGGAATTGAATTTTCACGACGAAAGTTTCTTTCAAAGAAAGAGATCGTTGTAATCTTGGCGACAAGAATTTCGCGTAATTTCTTGAGAATGCGACGAGAATACGAATTTTTCTTGATAAATTCATGTTTCTAGAATACGCGCGACAATCAGCGATTTGATGAAATAATCGAGAAATGGCAAATCTCCGACGTCTCGCAGAATCCCGTTATACCTTCTCCTCGAGAGACTTTTAACTCGGTCATCTTTTTTCGAGCAATCAGTTCACGACTAATTATACGCCGATCTAAATTTTATTTCTGTCCAGCAGCCTCGATTCCCCGTTTTTACCTCTGCTAGTACACAGGCAACAGTACGCTACACGTACAGCGAACGAGGTTACATAAATTTCTTGTTATCGAGATATCTCGATGCAGGATGAACTATAACTCCGCGTAGCGTGATACTCCGGAGACTTGAATGCCCGGAAAGAAGGTTCCCGCGAGCGGGGATCGCGTTCCTGGAGAGTTCAACGCCGGGCAACGCAATTCTTCCGTTGAATGTCACGTTATCGAGGATTCCGATGCAGGAAAAAATCGCGTTTCGACAATTTTAACGTTTATTCGCGCGGCTGTTTCACTCGGAGCGACGATGCCAGCGATTTCGACGGCGAAAAGTCGGACGATTCTTTCCAATGGAGCGTCGCTGACGCTTTCGTCGTTGAAGAACAACGATACACCGTCGCATGTCGCGTCGCCGGAGATCTGAACACCACGGAAGAAGAGTCTTCCGCTTTAAAATCGCGTTTCTAGAGATTTCAACGACAGAGAAGTGAAGAGAACTCTCTCGGCCAGTCGCGTGCTGGCTCCTCCTGGAAGGATCAGCGCAAAGTGCGAAGCTATCTCCTTAGCGGCGGATGAAATATGCGATTGGTGCGTGATCGGCGGCAATTCGGCCGGCGAAGTAGGTGAATCCTTCATTAACAAACGCGAACAGGTGGGTATGTACGTACTCCTCGAGAGTGGAACGAATGGCCGTGCCCGCAAGATTTTCTGAACAAGGGAGAAAAGCCGGGACTAGCGATCCTATTACCATAAGTGAAAATTTCCATTTTTCTACGCGATCTTATCTAATTGCAGTGAAATCCTCGCGCTCGCGATCTCCTACCACCAGAGACGACGTCCGCTAATCTGCTTCTTTCATCTTTTCTTTCGAAGTAACACGCTAATTGCTTAAATCCGAGCGTTTAGCCCTGGGAACGCTAAAAATTTTGATTCTCCTATACAGTAATCTTGAAAAGTAATGTTTCCAACATTCTATCATTGCGCTCGGGGAACAACCGTCTCCGTATATCCAGGACGAACAATTTTTCGAACGTTTAACACTAGAACTACCGTACCGGTCAAAATGACTTTGATTTGTTTGTTTCGCAGCTATTAATATCTTAAAAGCATCGAATATTTGAAATGATTTTGGAAATAGTTTCACTTGCGTACTATGATGAGTATCCAAAGAAACTGAAAATAATCTAATGTTAATCTTTATAGAGATTACATATCAATCGTATTAAATGCTCGGTAGGTCTAGTGTTAAAGTTAATCTTCACAGAGGAGCTACGTTTGCAACGCGCACAGGAAAAAAAGTAGTCTAGCCTCGGCGAAACGGTGTCGTTGCCTGGGGAGCCGGCTGTTCACTGACACACAAACATGGAAAAAAAAATAAAGAAGAAAGTAATTTATATATTTACCGGCAAAATGGCGGCCGCGCACTCCCCGGGTGTTCCGCTTTCGGCTTCCACCGACGCGAACATCGCCTCGATTCGCGCCTGGACGGCGCTGTTCACCCTCTTCTGCTCGTCGGCGCCGGTGTCGTCGACGTTGGTCGAGTTCATGGTGGACACTGCCCCGTACCAGCCGCCCACGGTGGACCCGTAAATTGATCTGGAACGGTACAAGCTCGTTCTCTATTCGAAATAACGGACTCGGAGCTTATCTCGCGATCACGGTGCTCGTAAATGGCCAGTGACTTAACATTACCATTTAATCGTAGCGTAACAATGGCTGGCTCACTGGAGATCCAATGAACGCACTGCCATGTTACCGTGCATTGTGTAGATGTACAGTAACTCTTTCAAATTAAAAGTCTCGTGGACGATGGAGGAGATTGAGTTTGATACGAAATAAAATTTGTAGACGTATGAAAATTGTTACGCGATCGAAGATTACTTTTAGGATACACTGTTTCAGACAGTTATACTTTTTTCAAGTGAATATAGGAGTTCAGTAATCATTGAATGACGTAGAAGTGTGCAATCATTGATCAAGGGGATGAGAATCTTACCTAGAGTCCTCGAAAAGGGCGTCGATTCGAGCCTTGCTCCTGAGGGAGCACTCCGACGCGGGTCCAGCCAGCCGGAAGCCATCCTCGTAACGTGCCATTCCTATGCACGACATTTTCCTCTGTATTCGATTACTCGATCCACGGATCCAGGTGATTGCCCAGCGAGCTCCTCGGAGCCTTTCGCGACGTGCTCCTCTCACGCGACTTCATTCGTTCTGAAAGAATCGAATCGAATTAACGAAAGAGAATCGTTGGACCCTCGTGAATTGTAGACAGTCTAATGAATCTGACAATGGCTGTTAATTCCCTAGAAAACTTCTTAGTAGACTGTAGATCTTTATGGAAATTGAAATGTTTTAAACCGCTAATGGAGAAATAGTATAAAAAGCACATGTTGAACATCTACATCTCGTGTCCTGTACATCTCGTGTAATTCCACGCTCTCAAATTTCCGGCGAGCGTCACGAATATCCGTAGTCTACTTATGATCATTGAATTTCCGTTGCAAATGAATATTTCATCGATTGCGTTGATCACGACGGATCACGGTCGACGCGGTAGCGCCGCGGAAGAACAGAAGAATGCCCGTGTACGCGCGCGAGCGAGCGAGGAAAAAAGTTTACAAAGGTGGATTGAAAAAATCGCCGGAGGATCGGGGAAACGGGGGACGCAGGATCTCACCTCGTTTCTACGGAGCCTGCTCCCCAGCGGCCGTTAAATTTATGCGAGACCGCGGCACCGTCGGACGCTGCTAATTAAAACTGTTAATTGCAGACGAGATCGGACGAGGAGTTTTCCATTAACTAACGAACGACGCGGCGCAGGATATCGAGTAAAAGTGACCCGGGGACTGGAGCTCGATCGGTATTTACTCCAGTGTCCCTGCCAGCCGGCGACACCATTTTCCATTTTTTCGTTATCGAGTTGCACGTGCTCGACGAATCTCGGACGAGCCGTTAGTGAACGTCGAAACGTAGAAGCGTGCATCGTTCGTTTCTCTTTTCGAATTTATCGTACTATTTGTCGGCCCGTTCGGCGCGATTCGGTGTACGGCGCATAGGTATTATACAAGGTGTCTGGAAAAATCCGATTGCCGCCGCAGATACGGACTAGAAATCGCAGACGCGCGGTACTTGATACCCGTTCATGCAAAATTATCGCGTGCATGCCATCGACGTGACTGGTTGCTCGATTTTCACCGGCGATGCGTGCGGCTCCGAGCGTTCCTTGAACGAAACGCATTCCTATTATCCGAAGTGTACGGCGAAAAATGCTTTCACGGCGGATGCCGGTCGCGTATGGCGTTTATTTAATTGAGCTGGGAACGCGACTGCCTTCGGGAAATTTCCTCCAACAACGGACGTTCACCCGATAAACGATGATTGCACGTGTTCCAGTAGAAATTTGAACATCGCGATCTTTCGCGCGAGAACGCAACGCAAACTGGAAACGCGAGTTACGAAAAAATCAGAACTTCACGGTTTCTGGAGAAGAAAATCACCTTGTGCATGCTGATTCGCAGCAACTGGGATTGTAGGACATTTGTTCGCCTTGCTAACGACTCCGAGAGACTCTATGTTTTATCAATCGGTCGGGAACAGGCTTAATCTCGTCGGTCGGGCGTCGAACATTGTCGCGTTCCGTGTAATGTTATTCGTAAACACGGTGATTTGATCGCGTTAACGGTCCCCGTCGGGCCTCGTGGCCGTGGCACGGTCCCACAATGATTTTAATTTCTAAGCCCGCCTGAAATTCCGGTCTAAAAGCGACTGGCTCCGGGAAACGGCGCTTTTTTACAGTTAGCCGGGCCCGATCGCGCGTTTTTCGTGGCGCGTCGATGGCGAGCGACAAAATGGCGGACGCGTGCGCGTTCCGCGAAAAAATAGGTCTCCTCTCGAAAGCGTGATACGCCGGAGGAATTCCCGATACGTTTTCCTCGATAAGGAAACATTAACGGGGAAGAAGCTTCTTACGAGCCGAACACCGTTACGGGAATCATCAACGACGACGACGATGCGAGGAGAAGAAATATAAAAGTCGCTCGAACGGCATGTCGAATATAAACGACGGATTTAAGCGCAATTATGCTCATCCTCGCGCGCACGATGGCATTAATAAATCCCGAGACTAGGTCATCCGACCGCCTCGTATTTGCGAACGAGAAAAATAAAGAGCGCGTCGATCCCGCGCGAACGGGCCCCGTCTCTCGCGTGTTCCGTTCGACGACTGGCTCGTGACGAAACTGATTATCGAAAAGTGGAAGATTACGAGCGGCGCTAATTACGGCAAGAAACGATTCCCTGGAACTCCTCCCAACCGTCGTTACACGAGCTTTCCGCGTCGACCTCGATCGTGAATACAATTATTCTCCACTCGAGCGGACCACGGTTTATCCCGAATTCCATTAAAAAGTTCGAGTAATCGTTACTTCGAACCGTCGCGACGCGGAATATTGAACGGCCACGTTAGAACGACCGGTCGAACGCCTTCGGAACGAACGCAGAGTCATGCGGGATGCGGCTAATTATTTACCGATGCGCGGAGTAATTATTCAAAGCGAAAGCTGGAGAACCGGTAATAATTTATAATTAGACTGCGGATCTCCATGCGAATTCAGATTTTCGAGAGTGCGATTAGAACGATCGATGGAAACGAATTTTCCTTGGAAGTATTCCAACATATTCGGCTACTTTCTACGCTTTTTCGGCGTCGCGCGTGTCTCGCGGATTTCCGTATCACCGAATTTCTCGGTAAATGTATAAATAAATATATAAATAGATTTATATATTTACATTATCACCGAAAAATGCGCGATCTGCTCGCGACGGAAGACAATTGCGCGTGAGCGAGTTCTGCGAACGATCGGTGGCGAGCCAATCGCGCCGATGTCACGTGTCGCAGCCGAGAATCGGCACAGAGCGCGGCCAGGTTTAAACGCGGATCGTTCAACGTACGATTACCAAGTTCACGGCTCGTTTGCCGTCCGCCATCGACGGCGTAATGGAAATCGAACAGACGGATGGACGGACGCGAGCCGTGAAACACGAAACACTTGGCTGTTGGGGAAAATCGTGTCGGACGGCGTGCAGCCTTTCCAGTCTTCGCGCTCTCGGCACTCTGATTGCGAGGCGGTCCAATTAAACGCCAGCTTGTCCGTGGAACGTTTACGACCGACACGATATTCCTATCCATCTACTACTTTATTGCCGTGGAAAGTCTTTCTCCGGGAACAACGAACTGAAATCCCAAGCGAATTCCGTCGAATATGTCGGGCATGCCAGCAAACTTAGCATTTTAGGGGATAGGAGCTACTGTAGGGAGATCACTCGACCGAGGAACGCCGGACTGCTCAGCTCCCATGTTTCTTACAACGCTAATCCGCTACCCGTCAATATGGTTGCGCGTAACGGATCGAAACCATAAACAAAACACACAGCGAAGGATCCGTGCCGCCTCTTCGCTCCTCCGCAGCAGCCATCTCTCTACAGTACCTCCTAAAACACTGGCCACGAAACGATTTCTCCGAGACACTTACTCTCTCGCGCACAAGTCCTCTCCAGATCCTCGCGGAGGGTCTACCCTCGTCGAGTCATCCCCGAAAACGATCTGGGACAGCACTTCCACATCACCACCGCGGCTCCCATCGCAACGAGCGCGCCGATCGCGCAGATCCGCGTCTACGAGACTCAACGAGCGCACGGTCTCTTTCGCGGGAGCCGGATCATCGTCCCCTGCGCGGCGCGGAATTCGTTTCGAACCGATACGACCGGGCGAGGAAACCGAAATGGCAATTGTTTCGGGGGACCCCGGAGCGGCGCGCGCGCGTCTCTGCGGAAGAAAACGCTCCCGTTGACGACCGACCTTGGCCGCGAGTCGATCCGGATGACCGTCGACGTGAAACTGCCGGGGATGTTCCGCAGGAGAGACTCGGGTTCTCTAGCCAAGTGAGTCGGCTCCTCCGCGGTGGAACGAAGAGGAGGAGGAGGGGGCGGAGGAGGAGGATGAGGATCGACGGAGAGAGCCTCTCCGCGGGCTCCCGTCGGCTGGAGGGGTGAACGGACGTTTTTCGTACCCGGGAATCGCACGTGACGCCACGAACGCAACGGTGACATCCGAGTATGGCTGTGATTAATCGGGATCGGATCGATTAGCCGCTGTCCACCTGGATCACCGGTCGAATGATGGATGCCGAAGACAGCACCGTTCGTCGCGTGTCGCGATCGGAGATTGACGACGTTGCGATGGTAGTAACAATGGGTTTATCGGTGGAACTTTTTTATGGGAGAGCGAGAAGATTGAAGGAGGATGTGCGACAGATGCGAAAGTGAGATGGAAGAGTTCAGTGTATCGCGAATGAGAATAACAGAATATTTTCATTTTGAGCAACTGGATCACGTTTAGGTGAGTCGAAGGGGTAGAATGAAGTCGGCTAATTTTGGGACATGGATATTGGAAATGTTGCGAAAAGGACGAGAGATCGCGAATTCGAGGGAGGGGATCAGGAACTGGCTATTGAATATTCAAATATTCAGGTTTTAATGTATGACGCCGGTGGTCAGATTGGCACGTTGAAGAGCGTGAACGAAAATGGTGTTTTGAGAGAAGATATTAATTATGTATATTGATGAGCTGCCGTCTACGGGACATTATTTTTTATAATACACTACTGATAGTGGGACGTTTAATTTGATTGAATTCCTTCGTCTCGCTGGTTTATCTCATTTTGCTCGCGAGCTTCCCGATCGAAGATGTCCGGCGAACGTTGCCATGACAATTTATACAAATTCTCTGCGCTTTGGTAACCCGATGAAATTCAGCGGAAGGAAAGCGGGTCGAAAGCTACTTACCGGTTACGTATACACGCTAATTGCCCTGGCCACAATTATCAGCAATAAGCAATTATCAAGCAGTTGAAGAACCCCGGCAGAGATTTTTGTTATAATTACGGCCCGCCGATATTTGCATCGAGAAGAGTTTACGACTGTAATGAATCCTCGCGGCTCACATGCATGTGTGCCTTTGGGGGCCAATTTGTCAGGAATTTCAACTACCGTGATTCTCTACTCGCAAAAATTCATGAAATCCACTTTATTTTCTATTAACTGCCACTTCGCGCATCGCGAAATCAATTTATTTATTTATCCGCCGGAGGATCATCTGTTATGTTATCGATACGTGTAAGAAGAAGAATTCAGGAATTCATCTGGCAGCTTTA